AACTATGACTAGTTTTGTAGTGTATAATTGCTTGATTGCACTTATTCCACATGTTTTGTAGTGTGCTTCTTTTGTTCTTATTCTTGCTACTTTTATATTATACCACTAGTTATAAGTAACTTTTAATTAAAGCAATCTTGTAATTTGAGTTGAAGTATAAAATTTACCTTCACAAAGGTCTTTGTCATTCTAATCTATATCATAAGTGAAATTTTGGAATTTCGCAAATTATATAGTAGCTGAATGTGAGTTAAAATAAACCTCTACTAGTTAAATCTTAGTTAAATCCTAATCAAATCACTCTTAACGTCCTTAAATTACTCATAGAAATAATCTCTATTAACTAGAAATTTTATTTAATTGTAGCTCTTATTTAATCCAATTCAATCTATCCAAAAAAACTCCTTAATTCATCCAAGTAATCAAGCAAATATCTAATAATAATTCATTTTTTTAATAATAAGTTATTTTATAATTTTATATAATCTAAAATATTTAATAATATAATATTTAATAATATATATATATATATATTTAAATATTAATTTATATTAAATTAATATTTATCCATTGGCTATTATTATTTTTGAATAATAATTCATCTATGAATCATAATTCATCTTTAAATTAAATCTCATCCAATATTAGTTTCATTTAAATTCTAACCAATCAAATCCTAATTTAAACTTATTTTAATTTAAAATCCTTTTTTTATAGCTCATCCGACTACAATTCATCCACCTAAGCTAATCTATCATGAACTACTTATTAAAAAGATTGCTAATGAAGGATATTATCAAAGTTGATTCTTGTGACTAATTACACCACTCAAGGCTATTACAAGGGTACTCCAATACATTGCCCATGGCCTTGTAAGCAGTGTCTTCACCATTGATTCATATAATGATCTTTGTATAGTATCATGTTGAGTTTTTCTCTTCTACCTCCTTGTTCTTTTCTATTAATTACACCATCTTCAAATACATTGAATCCAATGATAACATCCAATAGAGATTTTTACAAGTCTACTTTCAACAGTCAGTGAAAGAAATCCAATGGTATTGTAGGCAAATTTAGACATATTGAATTACATTCTTAGGTGCAAACCATAGGTATAGAGTAATCCACACAATCCACATATGGAATCTTTAGCCCACCCTCTAGCGTGTCTTAATCTAGATTGAAGCTATTTATATGGAATTGGTTCATAGAATTGCAATCACAAGCAAGTTTTAAAGTTCACCATCTCTTTGCTATATTTTTTACTCTTCTATACTTGCAAAATCAACCCTCAGATCTTATGCTGTATTTTCATCTTATAATAATAAAAACCTTCTTAAATCATTAATCTAATTAATTTGAAGGATATAATTTTCTACACTCAATAGAGAAGGAAGGCATAGAGCATTAGAGTAACTTCAATCTACCATATCAAAACTTAATCTCAAATTTCATGCTTAGAATTGAATTCAAATCTTCAAATTTGGAACTTGCTTTAATTATTGATAAATCTCTGAGATAATTTTTTGATTAAAAAAAGATACAAATGCTTTCTAAATGGAGCTATAAATTAGAACTTGATGATGACATCCTCTGTAATTGTTGTGCTACTACTTTGCTATATTGTTGTAGCTCTTCCTACAACCTAAAGAAGAAAAGAGTAAAAATATAGCAATGTTGAATTGTAACTACAATAGTACCATAATTTGAAGGTGGATTTTGACCTTCATGCCACACTCTCAAAAAAAAAGAACTTATATCCAATGCACCTAATAAAAGACTTCTACACTCTTAAGCTAAGAAACATAACCATGATCCAAATTGCTATTTAAATTATCAATCACCATGCACTAGCTCTTTAATTATTAGAGAATCTATAACTAATACAATTACAACACCCTTGATATTTAACGCAATCCTTCAACAACACAAGATGAGAAGGAAGAACTAAAAAAACAAAGCAAAGAAGTTTTCATGTACTACCGTATATTAGGCAATGATGATGAGCCAAGTTGAGTATTTGCTACTTTTTGTACTATAAAGATTCATATGTAAGAAAATGCAATTGAAGCTCTACAAGAAGTATAAGATAGTTAAAGTTGCATGCCATCGGAACCAAGTCAAAATTGCACCATGAGACCTAAATTATAGCAAGTTTAGATTGTTATTATACTACCTCAAGAAAAAAAATCAATCAACCACCAAATTTATCAAACTATCATTTTGTGCTAAAGACTCTAGTTTAAAGTGCTACCATGTAGTGAACACTAGGTTGATAAGATAGAAATGGAACTTACATGCAAGCATTGATTACTATTCTTCTAATTGATTTTGTCTGCTTCAACTACATAATTTTAATCAACAAACTGCCAATGATTAAAAAATACCACCTCAAACCACAACAATTTGCTATACTATAATAACAAAAAATATACAATAATATTTTTGCACATAAAAAAAAAATATCCTCCTTAAATATAGATCTTGGACTATATAATCCAAAAAATAATAAGAATAAAAGAAATAAAGAGTCTGGGCAGTCAAACCCCTATCAATGAAGAGGCTGCCACTCTTTAAGAAAGCCTTTAGTTCTACCTTGATCACCTTTTTTATTTTTTTTAATTTTTAATTAAAAATTTTTATCTTTTTTTTTGATTTTTTGATTTGATTTGATTTGATTTGATTTTTAAATTTTTTTATTATATATATATATATATATATATATATATATATATTAAAAACTATGAAATTTTTTCTTTCTTTTTTATCACAAAGAATATTTTTTTGGCCATTATCTAATGTTAGCTACAAAAAACCTATTCATTATGGATATTTGTTTTAATAAATTTTATCTTAATTTACATATCTACTATTAGTAATCTATTTTTTTTTTTTTTTTTTTAATTCTACTATTAATTCATATAATCTATGATTTTAAATAAAATAAGTATATTTTTTATACTAAATATCAAAATGAATCAATTCAATGAGACACACTAAATATGATTATTGTCACAATGATACAAATTTGGTCTTTACTATCTTTTCTTGTTTACTTTTTCCAAAAGCAGTTGTAAATACTTCTAAGAATGAATTCAAATCATATAAAAGATGTGAATCTTTTTTATCAAAGGTATAAACCAAGAGAGAGCATTCTTAAAAAAATTACACCTATGAATCCTACTTCGTTAAATCTATTAGGATATTGAAAAAGATGCAACCTTAGATAGAGCTTAATTTATTGTAAAAATCCTTTAAATTTTGATCTTGTTCTATCATACTTCTTGGGCATATTTATCTTTGCCTCTCTCATGTTTGGAGTAGCAAGCCTTCTTAGATTTAATTGTGACCTTGATTTACTTGCTTTTATCAATTATACAACTTTTTGGTATAAATTTTGAACTTTATTATTGACTTCTTTCATAAGTGTTGGAATACTACCTCCATAGTTGGCATTAGAGATACATAAGATTTTTATCCTTAGAGTATTGACAAGCTTGTGAAGATTTGTAATAGTTGCAAATCTATTCTCACTTTCACTAAGAGTAGTATCTATAATTTTTCCTTCTTTAGATAATTCAAACAAATCTAAAAGTCAAAATATATGAAGATAATTTATAATCTCTAATATCAAATGAAAGTTTCTACAAAAAAGAATAGTCCACTCTCTTTAAGGAAAGTAATCAGTATTAGGAAACTAAAAGTGAATTTAAAGGTGGATAATTTGCAACCTTTAAAATACAACAATAGAAGTGGAGTAATCTACTCATTTCTAACACAAATCAAGGACAACAAATTAGCACTCTTATTAAATTATCAAAGACATGAATCCTAGAGAAGTAAAAGATCAATACAGTCTTGTATTACTTGAAAATATTAAAGAATCACTCAAATATTATATAATATTAAACTAGAATAACTATTGCCAAAGATAATAAGACTAAAAAATCTTGAAACAAGCCTAAAGACTACAAAGGCATTAAAAAGAATAAAAAAACCTTTAATCTTGTCTTTATATATACTATCCAACTAAGAGCTATATAATGACGTCCTATAAGACCTCCAACACATGTCCAATTTGTGAGACATGTGTCTTAACTTACAAGGCAAGTTTCTTATATGCATGCCATATTATAAGCTGTATTACAAACTATCCACATGTGTGACACATGGCTAATTTGTTGACCATGTTTCTAACCTACCAATCAATTATAAATATGTATAAAGATAAATATGTGTTTATGAAGCTTCTAAAAAGCTTTGCGACAAAATAATATCAAATTTGCCTATATTTACCTTTTACCCAATACTTTTTATTTAGATAAATATTTATGTCTATGATAGATGAATGTGGTTGATTTCCATTGGTTTTGAATCCAATAGTGGAAAAATAAATATGAATATAGATGTTATTTTGTTTTCATGATGGTTAGGATGATTGGACCAATTTTGAAAAAGCTTAGATAAATTTAGTAAAAGCTTGGATCTAGTTAATAGCTTGGAGCTTGGGTCTCGTAAAACAAAATATTATATATCATGAAAATTAAATTTTGTTAGTTTAAATGATTTAAATGATTTTGTATGTTGCAAATAAACATAGATTGTTTATTTATTTTGTTACAATTTCCAAGATAGTGTAAACACATTCTCACTCTTTATACCAAATTTTGATATTTCAATAATTTTTACATAAAAGAAGACATATACACATATATATACGCTTGCATGAAATGTAATATAAAAAAAGTGTCACAAAATTTTTTTCATGTAAAAAATATTGAAACATTCCATTTCTTGAAGGTTGTATTTCCATTTCCATATATTTATCACTATCCTTGACTCTAGAACAATTTATGTCGATAACGCAGACGCGCGTCAGAGGCGCAGGAAATAAACCACTCTTGACGCCAACGCAAACGCGCGACAGAGTGGCAACGCGAGTGGCGCTGGAAAGTGAGTGCCGGGCGATGATTTTCTATCGTCACATTCACAGCCCAATTTCCACTGACAATCGCTGAATGTATTGATCGCACGAAGACTCAGAATTCCACATGTATGTATTTTACAATTATTTTGGGGTCACGGCTTTCCGTCCCTCCGGAGAACTGTTGCAAATCCTGCGTGTGTCTCTCCATTTTCATGTCCCCATATGCCGGAGGTTGAGTCCTACTTGCATGGTGGACGTGATTTCAACGAGGAATTTCTGGACTTCAGAAGGGTTTGGAAGTTTTGTGTGACCGAGGCATTCTGCGTGCTTTATACAGGGAGTTGTTGGGCTTTTAGTTCGAAGTGGATTGTGGATTCTTCATTGGGAGGCCAAGTGGAGCTGCGATGGCGTCGTCGTGGCCGTCTCCTTCACTGGTAAAGATACCGCGTTAGAATTTGTGTGCATTTTTTTAGATTGGTGAGGAGCTTGGGACGTGTGTTGGTTGTGAATAGAACATTTGCGTTATAGATTTATGTATGCTTATGATGCTTGTTGGTTTATAAATTGGGGATGATTGTTTTTGTCTTCTGCGCTTGGCATGAGTTTTAGTTGGCGAAGGTGAAGAAGGAAGTGGCATCCATGGCAACAGCCGAAGACAAGGATGTGAGGGTAGCAGTGTCGCCCTATCGCATATGTCCCTTAGGTGCCCACATTGATCACCAGGCATGACTCACCCCTGTAATGCAACTATCTGGCTGTACTTCCCGAATTACACCACTGACATTAATTATTGACATAAGCATTGTTGCATTCGAATTCTGTAATGAAGCATACATGGAACTTGGCTATGGTTTCAGGGTGGTTCTGTGACAGCCATGGCAATAAGTCAAGGTGTTCTGCTGGGATTTGTACCCTCTGGAAATCTGGAGGTGATACTCATACGCTCCCACAATCAATTGATTACTTCTTCATGCATCAGTTTCTAGTCACCGAAGCATAGAATTCTCAGCCATACGATGGTCAATGTAAGTTCAAGTAACAAAATCAAGGTTTTGATACTTGCACTTCTTAAATCGTGATTTGGGTGATGTGTTTTAAGTTAGTTGGTGCGGAAACATCTGGACGACTGCTATAGGGTTCCAGAGCACTTTTCAGTATTTGGTGCTTTCCTTTTACTCACTTAGCTGGCCCTGCAGACCACTAAGTTTTGCGTCTTTGCTCCTACCTGTTTAATTCATGTCTTGCCTTCTGAAAATATGTACTTGATTTGTTATGACATAATTCCTGAATGAGCTAAACAGCGGTTGGCCAATATTCAGCTAAACTAATGTATGGGTGGATCCTTTATGGTCACAGATGCGCCTTCTGTCTGGTCAATTTTTTGGGGAAGTCCGATTCAGGTGCGCAAAATCGCATGACGTTACACTTGTTCTGCCCATCGTGCCTTCTCATTAACGACATTAATTTCTTTCTAGAACGGTCTTCTTCGTGTTACTGAGGCCATATTTTGTACTGGTGTTAATATGCGTCCCTTATTTCCGAAGATGGTGATGGTACTGAATTTGAACATCAGTGTTAAACATGCTTGTAGAATCCGGTTTTTATTGCAGTCTTGACAGCGTTCCCCCAAAGAAGTACAATGATGGGGCTTCTAACATTAAAACCGACGAGTACTCTATGGAAGAAGGTGCATGGGGCAACTTTTCTCGGGGTGCGGTTCTAGCCCTTCAAAAGAAAGGGTACAAACTATCTCAGGTTAGACCTGTACCGTTGTCAATTCAACAAAATTCGGTGCTGTAACCATGGTGTTTGAAGATGAGGCTTCTAGAATTCATCTTCTGAAGAATTCACCCTGTGGTTTTGCAATACGACTTATGTGGACATATTAATGATGGGTTTATATGCTTTGTATACTAGTATTATTCTTCGATTCGATCATGCAAGTAGCCATAAAGAACTGATAAAATGATGCTCTTTTCTAACTTAGTTTCCTACTTTGAGTCAGAAGCGCACTAGGTCAACTGCCTCATTTCGACTTTGTTGAGCCTTTTGAGCATGTTGATGAGAAAATGGCGATGCTTCTGAATGTTTAGGGTGAGTTCCTTATCTGATGTTTCAGTTAACGTATGGCAGGGGATTACAGGATTTTTGGAAGGATCGGCAGGGTTTGAAGGATGTGGTGTCAGTTCCTCAGCTGCTGTGAGTCTTTAGATATTGCTCTCCTCAATATCTTAGTGGTTTCTATTTTCCTTTTGTTTTAATTTTAATTTTAATTTTATTTACTGTAATTGATTTTTGCGACAATCATGACACCAAAAAAGATGGTACACATTACGTTTCAAACTCGGAAGGCCTGTCAGCATTCGATTGCACTAATTTATGTCCTGCAGGTTGGAGTTGCTTTCTTACTAGCTCTGGAAAGTGCAAACGGACTGAAAGTCACTGCAGAGGATAACATTGAGCTGGACAGGTTGTTCCTCTCCTGCTTGGATTCTGGGCTTACCATCGATTTGAAATGTGTAATCCTTCAGAACGGTTTATGGCTCGACTTCAAAATGACATTGAAACTTATCAAAATTAGGTGTCCTCGACAAGCCACGTGTTGCTGTATTCGAAGTTGCGAATTGTGTGAACTATTGTGAATATCTTTAGTGCATGATTTTTGTCTGCTTACTGGCGAAGTTAACAAGCTGTAGAACTATGGAAGTGGCGGTCAGTGTGTTGGATCATCCTTTTTGCGGGACTAATTATCCAGTTGTGTGTAGTAGATTGATTGAAAATGAGTATCTGGGCCTGAAGAATGGAATATTAGACCAATCAGCAATATTGTTGTCACAGCGCCACTCTCTCACTGCCATTCATTGCGAGGTTTTGCGAACCTACTTTCGCTTTTATCTTTTCCCAGCTTCTGTTTTTTGCTACATAAATCCCATAACATTGTAATGTTTAGTCACGAAATTTTAAAATGGCTCCCTTCAATCGTTTTTTCAAGAGCTCCTTTCTCCATTTCCATGACAAAATGGATACTTCTGTCAATTACCAGAGAAGAATGTACGAGTTGGTTCAACCACCGTGGTATGGGAAGAATGAGGGTGATTACAAGATTCTTCTGGCTTTCTCTGGCCTACAGCATGCGCTTTCAAGTAAACCAGGGTACAATTTACGAGTAGCTGAGTGTCAAGAGGCCGCAACAGTTCTGCTTAGGTACTTCACTAGCATGATAAACTTTCAACCATTTTTTATTCAAATAAGCCCGTATAGAGGAATAGAGATGGAATGCACTGCAGCTAGATTCGGTTTAAAATGCAATCGTCGAACTTGACTCACTCAGGTAAATGTGCTCCAGAGCTGTTGGTCGAGGAGATTGTGAACCTCTGCTATGCAATGGTAAGTGTCTTTCAATGGTATTTAATGGTCTTGAATAGTTTAAAAGTATGTCTTTTTAATATATGGTCTGAACTAAACTTGATGTACAAATTGATCTCCTCGTCTTTCATGATACGTATTACTTCACGTTTCCTGCCCTGCGATCAGTGTGATGTCCCGTACGGTTAAATATAATATATTTGCATCTCAGACAACTTCATGCTGAGAAATATGTGGTTGAACATATAGAAGACCTGAGCTTCTAATTTATTTCTCTATGCTACACCTTCTAAAATGTCAATGATTGCATTGTGTGCAATAAATCGGCATGCACCGTATTTTCAGTTTCTGTGGACGAGTACGAAGCTCATAAAGTAAGATCCTCGTGACCAAGCTCGTGTTCGATCATAAGGTCTCGTATTCTCGGAGCACTGAAGAACAGTTTGTGAAATGGTTATCTGTAGCGTGCATACAAAACTCCTACACAATGTGTACGTTCTGCTTTCGTCACAGTGTTAAATTAGCACCCCATTCGGTCTCTAATATGACTTCCGTTGGTCTTAGTTGTGGAGAAGGGGTTGTTGCCCTGCTAAACGATACGTTCCTATGTGTGTGCGGCAGGATTTGTTGGAAGGAGAACTTGCCAAGCGAGCTTTACACTTCTTTTCTGAGAACGCTAGAGTATTTGCAGGTAATTTTTTCGGCATCAAAGCTAGAGGCATCTATCATGCATCAACTTTATCATCGCTCTTTTATTGTGTTTTATATTAGACAATAGATTGCGTAATGTCTTCTGGAAGTCAGGCTTGTAACTATTGATGTAATTATTGTCCCATACGGTGGTGTAATTTTCTCCTTCGCCGATGATCTACTCGTCTTGGGACAGGGATTGATGCTTGGTCTCAAGGAAACCTACCTGAATTTGGTCGGCTGATATCACAATCAGGCTTGAGTTCAATCCATAATTATGAATGTGGTAAGTGACTGCTTACTATAGAATGTCCATTGAGTGTGTCGCTATTGCACTAGTGTTGAAATTGACTCTAGATGTGAACATTCGTGTAGGAAGCGCTGGAGCTTTTGTTTTTACATTTGGCTGAATGATGCGATCTGAACTAATAGCAGTTACAATCTATTTCCTAATTTCAACTTTGACTATGTTCATGAAAAGCTGGGAGCACACTTAAGAGTGAGAGCAATGTAAACCTAGGCTGGTGTCTTGTGATAGAACAAGCGTCAACGATGATAGTTTTTCCAGCTTGAAGAAGCAGAATTTTATCATATGCGATGAAATGCACATTTCACAAATGTGGTGTGAGAAATCGTCAGAGTTAAAGTTTGCGTTTGTAAAACATTAGTGCTCTTTGAACTCAATTTTGTGCTGGGGCCACCTGAATGCTCCTTCGATTTCAGGTTGCGAACCATTGGTGCAGTTACGTGACATCCTTGCACAGGCTCCTGGGGTGTATGGTGCACGTTTCAGTGGAGCTGGTTTTCGAGGGTGCTGTGTGGCACTTGTGGCAACAGGTTGAGTCTCTGATAGCGATTCCACTTCCTTTACCTACTATCTGAACATATATACTGTAATACCAGTTAGAGAAACATAATGAATGTGTCATTCATGCTTGTAATTTATGACTTAGATGGGATAAACGTCTCGTTCTGGACGGAACTTGCCATCCCCAGTCGCAACAAAGTGCTTAGTTTACCCCAGTTTTAGAGTGGTTTTATAGCAGTGTCGAGATTTACCAACACTTTGGCAGCAGATTTGGCAGGGGAAGCTGAAAAGTATGTGCGTGCTAAGTATCTCAATGCTCAACCTGATCTTGCGAAGCGACTCACCACAGCCACCTTCGTCTGCGATTCAGCTGATCACGCGCATGTTGTGTGAATTGAAACGGACCATGTTTGCATAATTCCTTCTGGGGCCTTGAACGGGAGCAGTAACATAGCCCACAAAGAGAAGAGTGCCCATGCTGAACATGAAAATGGAGTTTGATGATGAATTTTCTGTTCGTTCACCCTATTGCCAATTACACAAAACCCTTGCATGCAGATTGGAACGGAAGTATGGTAGAAAGGAAAATACTCAGTTTCAACATTGAAAATGTAAAATTCCTTTCACATATTGAAACCAACTTTCATGGGTCATCTATGGTTTTAAATTGTGAATCCACATTAGATTGTTATGTTGACAGAATAGTTGGGATTTTTTTGCACAACAATGAAGGGTTTTTGAATCCTGTATTAGGTTGATAGATTCTAAGGTTGTCTGATCGAGTTATGACGTTCAAGTCTTTTGCAAAACCAATCAGTCATAAAAACACATGCTTGGTTAAGATATGTAGATACTTTAAAACTTCTTTACTTTCAGAAACTTTAAATTTATTTCTTTTTCTTTAGTAGATGGATTCTTTATTTCATATGCTTTGTCCCAAAGAAAAACCTAAATCTGAAAATCTATGATTTAAACGAATGATGATGTGCATGAATAAGTACAACAAACAAATAAAACATTGTAATTTGAAAAACCTTTCACAATGTTTTATAAAACTTTCATAAAGTTTCTATCTAAGTGTTTTATAATCTCTTGATCTTCTCAACTCTTTTAAGAGATTTTATAGAAAGTTTCTTAAATTTCATGGAGATTTCTGTTGAAGTCTCTGTATTACCAAGGTGTTATAATATAAACGAAGGCAAGGCAAGAGGCACCTCTTCTCACCACCACTTGTAGAACAATCTTTAGTTTGTAATTCTATTAATTGCTTTAGTAATTGATTTTTTAAAATATTTTTATCAAATTTATTAAGCATAATTTATTTACTTATAAATAATTCTATTTTTATCAATAGCATAATATTAGATCAATAGGATTTTTAGATTTCTTCTAATTTATACAAAATGTTTTAAAGGCATTAATACGGTGCAGAATTGAGTCTATTACATCTACATTGACTTTTGAATAGAATTAATTATGTTTTAATTTAAACATAAAAAAATGTACTTAAACAAAGATTTTAAAGAAAAGATTTAAAGAAATTATCTGTTAATGATCATCTTATTATTTATAAAAAATTAAAAATACATGTTTATTTTTTACTGAAATATTTAATATATGACACTGTGTGGTTTTTGATGAAGAAATTGAGCATGTCATAGTTATCTAGAATGTGCTCTTGGAAGTCACTAAAGAACTCCAAATGCATTGAAATTGATAACAAAGAATAACACCAAGTTGCAAAATTGCAATCGACGATGCAATAAAAACTAGTTTAGATAGACAAAAATTTGCATAATGCAGCAGTGTAATTGAGGCCTATAACCAATTGAATTTCACCAACTCATCATAGGTAAATGCAAACAATTATCACATATACACAACATGTAAACATATATAGAAGCACTTTGATCCACTTTAATCAATCTAAATTTGCGATGCTATGAATATTTTCATACAACTCAATGCAATCACAAAAAAGAGTAATCTGTTTATAATACTGAACCTGATATATGCACAGTGATCCAGTGATTGATTTGGATGAAAAAAGTTCATTTGATAGATTCATTAATATTATTATTAGTAGTAGTAGTATTATCATATTATTTCTTTTGTTCCTATCAGTAATTTTTATGGAAAAGTACTTTGGACAAGTTAGATGATTTGTTCTATTATATTGCATTAAAAAAAATAATAATAATAAAATAAATTACAAATATTCAAGTTTTCTGAGATGAATTATGCTGATTGGATAATGAGGAATTGGAATTAAGACAAAACTTCCATTTCCGTCCTTCAATAGTAACAGAATATTCCATACTATTTAAAAACCGATTACACAATTCATATGGCACTGATTTCAATTACTAATTACACTCTTTTCTGTATAGATCTTTAAGGTTACTTCATCTCCTTTCAACTGTTATCATTCACCAATACTATTCTGCGTTCTGTTATACTACCGTATAACTCCTGCACTGTTGACAAGTGCTTCAGCGACTCCAACTTTAATCTTTGGCGTGTCCTTCAATTCAATTTAGACTTAAGTATTTTTATAGACCGACACCATCAGCTCAGTACACTCATAGTGCGTACCTATATAAATCATTCCCCACCACGAACTTGTTCCATACTTCTGCCATACATTAGCGACGGCGACATGGACACAACTCATTCCCTCTCCGCTACAACATTCCCCACTCCGCCAACATTCATGCACGCCAACAGCCTCACATTCGAACGCCACGCAACAAAACCTCACACGGACAACAATTCCTACAAAATCCTGCTTCGGTTCAGAAGCTTCATTTATTCAATCATACATTGACAGAGAGATCGTTCATCACGCTTTCCGCACCCTTCTGCTGTATCCCGGACGGTCAGTCCCCTCCCTGTGATAAGCATACTCACATAGCTGACGACCAATTCATCGTCTCCTACGTTCAAAGAATCGTCCTCCTAAACCAATCCCACTTACACCCTTCCCCCCACTCTCCCAACCAATGCCTCTCCCACCCGCCCCCTCCTAATCCCACTTCTATGTGTCTACAACACATTGTACGCACACTCCCGAGGTGCCACAGGATACCGCTTTCGGTCGTCGCAGTAATTGTAATGCAAGTACTTCGCCTTCACCTCCCGCAGCTGCCGAGTCTTCGTCTGCCCCATCTTCTGCACGTGATCCCCGGGCGCCGCCGCGAAACTCGTCTGACATTTCTCGATGCTCGCCGCGTCACCATTCTTCGCCACGCATCCCGCCAGCTTGAACCTGTCGTACGTCGTCACAAATGGAGCCGACGCCCAGTCCAACTTCACACGCCCTCCGTCCGTCGCCCAGCTGCTCCCATCCCACACGCTCAGGTACACTCCCATTGCACATTTCTTCGGATATTTGAACCCCGGAATCTCATTCTCCAGGTTCTTGAACATCCGAACCGGCATGCTGTCGATGTAGAACACCAGCAGGTCCTTGTTCCACTGGAAGTTGTAGAAGTGTGCCTCCTTCCTCGGGTCGAACCACAGCCGAATTTGCTGCTCCCGCCCGCCCACGCCATCCACGAAGATATTCGTGTGCAACAGGTAAGGCATCCCCGGCTTGTTCCCCAGAAACTCGAAGTCGAACTCGCAGTGCTTAGGTCCCGACGATGCCATCTGCACCAACCCGACCACTCACTGCTCAGCACCTCCACAACTTCCCCCCAACTCTCGCAATCTCCACATTACCCAACTCACCACCACCCACTCACATAGAATGTCGACACCACGCCCGCTGAATCTCCAGGCGGCATCTTGATGTACGCCCCATTCGCAGCGTACGTGTACTGCAGAGGCGATGCCATACCAGTGTAACCTGTTCACAACAACCGTCACCACATCCTTGCTCATCAGTAACACCGCAACCATTCTCGCCGCAACCGCAAACTTCACTCTACCCCCCCCCCCTCCCGCAAACACCACTACAACCACGCCTCCCAACATCCCACTCGTTTCCGCGCAGCTACCGTATCCCTGCCCGCGCCCCGCAACACCCAATTCTCATTTCTCAATTCTCAATCACCGCCGGACAATTCACGAGTACTCACTAGCTTTGGGGTCTTTCAGTATCAGTTTCACTCCGGTTCTATTTGGATACATCTCCGTCTGCTGGGGCGACCACTGTTTGAAGTCCTTGATACTGTCCGCTCGAGCGGCCACCCCCGCCACCAGCCACAACATCACCGCCGCTGCCACCCATCCGGAACTGCCCCGGACTGATCCCATTTGTGCGGAACCTGCGGTTGCACACACACCACATTACTATCCGCCACATCACTGCTGCACATGTGACTCCCACCTCCCGAGAGTGCTCACTCATCCCTTTCAAAAACTTAGCCTGCACAACCACACACACAACCCCAAACACTGCCTCAGCTGTCCCACCTGAAACCACTCAGCCGGCCGAGTGAGACACTAAACACCACAGATGCGCTGATTATCCTGCGATTAATATCCCTACTCTTTCACGACGTACACCGGAACGAATCGCTGCTCAACCAGATCGGGTCCGTGTGGTCTTCTAGACCATGTGTCTGGACCTCGACTTACTGCAACGCACAAGCTGCACTGTTTGCAGCTGAATGCCTGCTTCACTCCATCATCGTGCGTGTCCAGCGAACTACATAGTGCCAGAAGCTTGTGCAACTTGCGAGGATAGTGCAGGACATGGGTTGGATGCGCACCATCTACACTTCAAAGCGCGGCAAAAAGGATCCTGAATTTCAGCGAACACGTCACATGACCCCATGAGAATTCATCCTGCCGGACCTGATTCGTCGAAGCCACAGCGAAGTTTGATGGAACACAGTGCTTGTGAACTGGAAAGAGCTGGATGTGTGTAAATCCAGCCTCACCTCCATCTGCATCATTGTCATCTTGTGAAGTGCAGCTCTGGATTGATGGATTTTTGCAGCCATGGAGTTGTTTAATGCTGGTTGGATTCATGATCCAAGGGGCTGGTTTGAAGGGCGTTGCGGTTTCAAGTGTATGGGTAATTTGGGTGGATACTAGGTCTTTATATGGAGTTAGAGTAGTTGTCGTGTTTGATAACTGTCCACTGCAGTTTGTGTTTGCATTGAAGTTGGGTGGAGGCGGTGTGGCGGCCTGTTTGTTTAATTCACATCTGGGTTGTGAAACGTTTGCCTTGTCGATGGTAAAGCTATGGTTTCATTTGAGTTTTCTGTGCATCGTTGTAGGAAGAATATTGGATAAATTTGAATTGTGCTCTCAACTTATGAACTTGTATCTAGAGCCATGTGTTTGGAATGTATGTGTTATCGAATTTGCTTACAAATACAGCTACTGTGTATTCAATCCATACTTGTGGATGTATTTGGTATATTTTAAGAATTGGTTTTTTTTCGTGTAATCATTAAATTACTGAGAGCTTCATACATGACAATTTCTGTAATATATTACGAAAACAATATAGTTGGGATGGAAATTTGAAACTATAATATTGAGTTCATTTAGAGAAGTTTCTATTAGTCTGTTTCATGAAATCTTTCACTTGAAAATTATCTGAGTAAATCGTAACGAAGTGCTTAGGTGCTGTCATAATGAATCGTGTTCTTCAGTTTTGTATTATCCATCGAGGTGCATGTGTACAGTGTTCATTACTGCTATATTCTTTCCTTTTTTTTTTTTCTTTTTTTTTCTTTTATTAATTCAAACACACAAACACAAATAATGATATTCAATGAGCCAAATAAAATTTACTATTATTATTATTTTCTTATTGATCTTATTATTTTTTCTAACATACTTTCAGCTGTATACTGTATACCGCTACTAGGTTTTTTTTTTTTTTTAATTATATTTCTGACCTATTAAATTAATCTGAATGCTTTTTTTTTAAAGATAATACGTTCCAATGATTATCAATTACTTGTTTTCATTCAGTTTTTTCATTAATATTTTAGACATTTTCATGTAAAAAATTACAATCTTTGATATTGTAATTCTCAGTCAGTTCTTTATTATTAAGAGTTGCATGTGAGTTAGTGTTATATATATATATATATGTGTGTGTGTGTGTGTGTGTGAGAGAGTATATATATACTTGTTCAATAAGTACCACAACGACACTATCAAACCTGAATTATAAGCATCCACAACCCTACAGAACAATAAAAACAAAAACAAAAATCACTCATAGTACATATTAGCAATGCATTGCCACTTTTAGAACCCACAATATCTTTGGAACCCAATCCTAGTAGTGGACCGAGCACAATCAATTTTTATCCACAAGTACTCAATTAAAAATAGTGTTTTAAAAAGAATTTCGGAGCAAACACACATCGAAAATACAGGGCATGAGATGTCATCAAGTTCACAAAGTATATCCTCCTTGGTACAATATTAGCCTACATTAAAAACATGTTAATTAAAACATGTCAGAGCAACAAATTCAATGAGACGATACAGCATCATTCGTTCAACCACGAAGAACTGACAAATCATCTAAAAGATTCATCCCCACGATGGGTGCATAAAAAACTCACTTTCGGTTGTAACTTGCTCCCGATATGCTTCCCCGCTGTGGAGATTGCGAACGCTTCAGCGGATGCACTTCGGCCACAAGTCGGGATGGCACTGAGAAGTTGGTTGCCGATCATCGAAAGCAATCCATGGGACCAACCAGCGCGACGCTCAAGTCTCCGCAGGCTCCTCGGTGTCGCAGGCGTCACGAGCAGTGGTGACTTTGATCACCAGCTTTTCCTCAAAGCGATCAGTGTTAAGACCGTGGTGACATGCTCGGGGGCGTATGCTGCCAGGATGGACGCATCCTATTCTTACAAGCGTGAGCCTCATGCGCTCCCAACGTCGCCTAAAGAAGAATGAGGAGGCTTGAGTGCTGTTCAAATTGAGTGGATGGGAGTGAGAATGGTCTGCACTGGTGCCGGTCCTTTCAGGTTATTAATGGTATGATTTTAAGAGAAGTACTGACCCTGCGAATCTCGTTTGGTGGGTGGGTATTTTGCCGAAAGTAGAGAGTTTATTCAAGGTTGGGTGCCGGTTCTGAAAGTGACCACCTACTATTGCAAGAGATGCGGAATGAACTACAGAAGCCGTAACTTGGTAATGAAGCAATCTCCGCTCCAGGTGGAAGAGATGCCAATTTCCAAAGACCGTAATTCGTATCGCAAAATCCGATCGGTTTAATTTGGTTCAATAGGGAGCACGCTTGGCTACCGAATGACCGATTCCGAAATCGGTCACTAACTGTTGGAGCTGGCGAGCCTCGGACGGTTTGCTTCGAACAACCGGGCCAGACATACCTCCCTTGCCAGCTCACGAATGATCTCGACCAAGGAGAGAAAAATTCTCCCCCTATTTCGGAATGAGTGAAGGTTCATTGAAAGACACCCTCAATAAATCTTTTCCAGTTGAGATTCTAAAATTCAAAGTCTTATCTGAAAATAGTTTAGGGAAAGTTCCCCGAGTTGTGCGACTACAATGAACTTTAGTTTCATCAAAGTCAACCAGTTACCAGTTGGTGAATTGGGCAATCCTTTCCTGTGATGGATATCACAGACTCTTGCAGTCTCCAGTTCCCAATCGTAATGAATGCAAAAATTTCCATCGATGAGAAGAATAAATTTCGCACAGTTACTGAAATATGCAAATTTTACAGTTTTTAACTGCTACATATCCGAAAATTATGACATTCTTCATCAGTTTTGTTTAGAGTGACAAACTGTAGTGCTGTCGACAGAATTTCGTATCTTTTCAACACATAAATTTATTGAATACAGCTACTCAGCTTGACCATGCGAATGTGAATTTATCGTCATGCCAATGGCAATATTCTAAAAAAATTGAAACATTAAAATCATCACAAATTGATCACCAAACACATATCGGAATTCTTTACCAAAGGCGTTTAAAACTCTTCATTAAAAATGTGTGTTCAGAATTCAACCTAAAAACATAATTAATAGATAATAGTAGAGCACATATCCGCGTTTTATGGTTGCTATAGTCAAGGTGGATGTATTTTGTCACGTCATGAAGCAAGTAAAAGTACTTGCCTTGTACTTTTTCCTTTTCTGTCGAAACTTCAACTACGGCACGTTGACTCTTAAAAATTACAAGATTTACTGGAGTAGGAAATTCACAGAACAACTCCCTCGCTGTAATTTGCTTTATCCTTTGATGCAGCCTGCGAATGTAAGTCACATTCACATTCACCTCATTCACGGTTCGAAACCCATTGTCTCATTTTCCAGCCAGCCGATTCTTCAGCAACTGAATTTAATAAAGTCGTCGTTTCATCTCACAAAGCTGCAAATTCTGAGCATAGTAACCTCTCGTGAACTTGAGAAGCTGACTTCTATTAAAAGTTTACGCATTAAACACCATTAGCAGATCCCGATTGGTGATTCTCTGCGTCTAAATTTACGTTACAAGCTTCTCCTCAAATACCCACTTCCAGTTCTTCAGGTCCATCTGTCCAAGATTCGATGCCTGGTTTGGAGTATGGTGTGTGTACAGTCGATTTGCAGGACAGCAGGACCTATTGCTTGTCAACCTGGGCATGAGTTGTACTTGAGCTGGATACAGAGTCAATTTGTGTCCAACTTTGCCATGCAGCAAGGTCAGTTGTTGCCAGCTGAGCAACGAGAGGGCTGGCCTAAACATTATTTCAGCGCCTCATAGCAACAGAGAAATCCACATTCCAACTGTTTTTTTACTAATCATAGGGTCAACCATTGCTTGTTGGTGTGCAACAGATCTGATGACATTTATGTCAATGAAAGTCACGAGACTTCGTCTGGCAATCTTTCGAACTCTTAGGCTGATTTTAAAAGCCTTCACAAACCAGCTCTGAAAGAATGCAATATGATCACGTTGAGAGTTTCTCAAATGTGGCATGCTGTATTGAGAGACGACGGAACCCGCGAAACAAGCGTGAATTGCTTTTGGTCGTTCCGTGAATCTTATCGGTCACCGCGTCGACAAGTTCCATGTAATAATAATAGACATGGCTGGCAAGGTTGTGATGGATGTCCTGCTTCGTGACAATGGATGCAAAGTGTCAAAGTCCGCTCTCGATTCAATCGCTGGTGCGTGGCTCCAAGATTGAAGCGCAAGCAACCATTGAGGTTCCAGCGATCTCATCACTGGAAAGCAATGCAATCATCCGGACATGTCAAGTTGATCTCATGGAATTTTGCGAACTCTTCAGGTCGACAGAGCTCTAGGAAAGTTCGTTACCTACTATCCCAAAAAATCGACCTTCTTCACAAGGCTCATGTATTCATATTTCTTTTTTTCTTATTCTATTAATTGTCACACAGCAGGTGCACCCTCCAGTGATACCAAAGGTAAGTAAATGGTATTCCACGATATTAGATCATATAAAAATAAGTGATGAATGAAGCATAATTACAAGACCAAAAAGTTATAATATGTTAGTTGCTAAGCTACTGTGTATGATTGTCTCCTCAAGGAGGAAGAAAATTCCACCTTCTGTATGATTTATATTGTCAAACTTTTAACATAAATTTTGCCCATCTATGTTTTGTTCCAACTCCAAAGCTGCAAATTTCCATTTGTCAACTTCTTTCAGTGAGGTTTGTTTCAGTGAGGTCCAGAATATTCTACTATAGAGTGGGAGGTAATACCATATTTCTCTTCTATCTTTCTCATCATCCCATTTCTTTAAATTTAATAAGAAATCATTGCTTTGCCTCCAACCTATCCCTAAGCACTTGTGTCCTCGTCGAGACTATATAGTATGAAACTGGCTGAATTCGCAAGGAATGTCTTAAGCAAAGATTGTTTGCTTAAATGAAAAATCTGACCACAGAACAGCTCTCATGGGGCCAATTGATAACTTATTTACTAGAGAGGTGAACGGATTCTATGCTATATTTTTGGCTTGGGGGAGGTCAACAAAAGAAGGTAGAATTGTTTTGGAAAGTCCAAAATCACAGAGTCGGGACAGGTCAGAGGTATCCTAAATGCCTGAGCTCTCCACACAATGCCAATCCTCTCTGGAAACTGCGATTGTTGCACATGGAGGTGAGGCTGGATTTACACACATTCAGCACTTCCCAGTTCACAAGCACTGTGTTCCATCAAACTTCGCTGTGGCTTCGACGAATCAGGTCCGGCAGGATGAATTCTCATGGGGTCATGTGACGTGTTCGCTGAAATTCAGGATCCTTTTTGCCGCGCTTTGAAGTGTAGATGGTGCGCATCCAACCCATGTCCTGCACTATCCTCGCAAGTTGCACAAGCTTCTGGCACTATGTAGTTCGCTGGACACGCACGATGATGGAGTGAAGCAGGCATTCAGCTGCAAACAGTGCAGCTTGTGCGTTGCAGTAAGTCGAGGTCCAGACACATGGTCTAGAAGACCACACGGACCCGATCTGGTTGAGCAGCGATTCGTTCCGGTGTACGTCGTGAAAGAGTAGGGATATTAATCGCAGGATAATCAGCGCATCTGTGGTGTTTAGTGTCTCACTCGGCCGGCTGAGTGGTTTCAGGTGGGACAGCTGAGGCAGTGTTTGGGGTTGTGTGTGTGGTTGTGCAGGCTAAGTTTTTGAAAGGGATGAGTGAGCACTCTCGGGAGGTGGGAGTCACATGTGCAGCAGTGATGTGGCGGATAGTAATGTGGTGTGTGTGCAACCGCAGGTTCCGCACAAATGGGATCAGTCCGGGGCAGTTCCGGATGGGTGGCAGCGGCGGTGATGTTGTGGCTGGTGGCGGGGGTGGCCGCTCGAGCGGACAGTATCAAGGACTTCAAACAGTGGTCGCCCCAGCAGACGGAGATGTATCCAAATAGAACCGGAGTGAAACTGATACTGAAAGACCCCAAAGCTAGTGAGTACTCGTGAATTGTCCGGCGGTGATTGAGAATTGAGAAATGAGAATTGGGTGTTGCGGGGCGCGGGCAGGGATACGGTAGCTGCGCGGAAACGAGTGGGATGTTGGGAGGCGTGGTTGTAGTGGTGTTTGCGGGAGGGGGGGGGGGTAGAGTGAAGTTTGCGGTTGCGGCGAGAATGGTTGCGGTGTTACTGATGAGCAAGGATGTGGTGACGGTTGTTGTGAACAGGTTACACTGGTATGGCATCGCCTCTGCAGTACACGTACGCTGCGAATGGGGCGTACATCAAGATGCCGCCTGGAGATTCAGCGGGCGTGGTGTCGACATTCTATGTGAGTGGGTGGTGGTGAGTTGGGTAATGTGGAGATTGCGAGAGTTGGGGGGAAGTTGTGGAGGTGCTGAGCAGTGAGTGGTCGGGTTGGTGCAGATGGCATCGTCGGGACCTAAGCACTGCGAGTTCGACTTCGAGTTTCTGGGGAACAAGCCGGGGATGCCTTACCTGTTGCACACGAATATCTTCGTGGATGGCGTGGGCGGGCGGGAGCAGCAAATTCGGCTGTGGTTCGACCCGAGGAAGGAGGCACACTTCTACAACTTCCAGTGGAACAAGGACCTGCTGGTGTTCTACATCGACAGCATGCCGGTTCGGATGTTCAAGAACCTGGAGAATGAGATTCCGGGGTTCAAATATCCGAAGAAATGTGCAATGGGAGTGTACCTGAGCGTGTGGGATGGGAGCAGCTGGGCGACGGACGGAGGGCGTGTGAAGTTGGACTGGGCGTCGGCTCCATTTGTGACGACGTACGACAGGTTCAAGCTGGCGGGATGCGTGGCGAAGAATGGTGACGCGGCGAGCATCGAGAAATGTCAGACGAGTTTCGCGGCGGCGCCCGGGGATCACGTGCAGAAGATGGGGCAGACGAAGACTCGGCAGCTGCGGGAGGTGAAGGCGAAGTACTTGCATTACAATTACTGCGACGACCGAAAGCGGTATCCTGTGGCACCTCGGGAGTGTGCGTACAATGTGTTGTAGACACATAGAAGTGGGATTAGGAGGGGGCGGGTGGGAGAGGCATTGGTTGGGAGAGTGGGGGGAAGGGTGTAAGTGGGATTGGTTTAGGAGGACGATTCTTTGAACGTAGGAGACGATGAATTGGTCGTCAGCTATGTGAGTATGCTTATCACAGGGAGGGGACTGACCGTCCGGGATACAGCAGAAGGGTGCGGAAAGCGTGATGAACGATCTCTCTGTCAATGTATGATTGAATAAATGAAGCTTCTGAACCGAAGCAGGATTTTGTAGGAATTGTTGTCCGTGTGAGGTTTTGTTGCGTGGCGTTCGAATGTGAGGCTGTTGGCGTGCATGAATGTTGGCGGAGTGGGGAATGTTGTAGCGGAGAGGGAATGAGTTGTGTCCATGTCGCCGTCGCTAATGTATGGCAGAAGTATGGAACAAGTTCGTGGTGGGGAATGATTTATATAGGTACGCACTATGAGTGTACTGAGCTGATGGTGTCGGTCTATAAAAATACTTAAGTCTAAATTGAATTGAAGGACACGCCAAAGATTAAAGTTGGAGTCGCTGAAGCACTTGTCAACAGTGCAGGAGTTATACGGTAGTATAACAGAACGCAGAATAGTATTGGTGAATGATAACAGTTGAAAGGAGATGAAGTAACCTTAAAGATCTATACAGAAAAGAGTGTAATTAGTAATTGAAATCAGTGCCATATGAATTGTGTAATCGGTTTTTAAATAGTATGGAATATTCTGTTACTATTGAAGGACGGAAATGGAAGTTTTGTCTTAATTCCAATTCCTCATTATCCAATCAGCATAATTCATCTCAGAAAACTTGAATATTTGTAATTTATTTTATTATTATTATTTTTTTTAATGCAATATAATAGAACAAATCATCTAACTTGTCCAAAGTACTTTTCCATAAAAATTACTGATAGGAACAAAAGAAATAATATGATAATACTACTACTACTAATAATAATATTAATGAATCTATCAAATGAACTTTTTTCATCCAAATCAATCACTGGATCACTGTGCATATATCAGGTTCAGTATTATAAACAGATTACTCTTTTTTGTGATTGCATTGAGTTGTATGAAAATATTCATAGCATCGCAAATTTAGATTGATTAAAGTGGATCAAAGTGCTTCTATATATGTTTACATGTTGTGTATATGTGATAATTGTTTGCATTTACCTATGATGAGTTGGTGAAATTCAATTGGTTATAGGCCTCAATTACACTGCTGCATTATGCAAATTTTTGTCTATCTAAACTAGTTTTTATTGCATCGTCGATTGCAATTTTGCAACTTGGTGTTATTCTTTGTTATCAATTTCAATGCATTTGGAGTTCTTTAGTGACTTCCAAGAGCACATTCTAGATAACTATGACATGCTCAATTTCTTCATCAAAATGTTGTGGGGAATGTTGTAGCGGAGAGGGAATGAGTTGTGTCCATGTCGCCGTCGCTAATGTATGGCAGAAGTATGGAACAGGTTTGTAGTGATTTCCTGGATCGCTTTTCAGGCGACCTTCATCACTTTCAGATCTTAATCAAATGGCTCGTTCGCAACCAAACAGGAACCTCGAAATTTCAGAATCAAAACGCTAGACGAGATGTAACAATTATTGTCTTCTTGGGCATTGGTGGCAAGAATGCCAGCACGTTTTTCAAGAAAAACTCAATTGGCCGTATTCTTCACAAACTGGATTTTAAACTCAAGCTGCTTTTGCTGAGTGATTAGGCTCTATTCAACCAGTCTTTTAGCAAGAACATTCATACCCCGAAATAGATCATTATTCTACACTTTCTGCTACAGATACTCATGATGATTATCAAGATTTCATTAATTCTTACGAACATGACCAGTCTTCATCTGAGCTGCCATAGTCTGAAATCACCCGTGCCTACAATTCCTGATATATGTGTGTTCAGTGATGAGTTGTGCGTACTGAAACAAAGACAATATGTAATTTAATTTATTTCCGCCTTGTGATTATCCAAAAGCATTTGAATCAAACATTTTTTTTCAAAGTTAAAGAAACTTTTCTATGATGTATTGAAAAAATGTTATTCATTTGAGTCACTTATCCAGATTGTGTTATTATACTGTTCATGGTATATTTATTAAATCAACGCATGGGCTTAAGTTTGTCCAGTAACTTTGGAACTTGGGTGAACTCAGAGGTGAACTAACTGTCATTGTGTTCAGATTTGATTTCGTTCATACTTTTTCTGTAGAAAATGCTTGCTCTTTTCTTCGGCGAACTTTTCTGCGGAGAAATTATTTGTATGTTGAAAAGCTGGTTAGTGGGAATGATATTGGGGGCATACAACTTGAAGCTGCTCAGGACCCGTCTTTGGTGTACAACCGTATACGCTGTAAGTTTAATTCATTGTCATGTGATTAATAAAAGAATGTATTTTTCTGACCCTGTACTGCCGATGTTTTCTTTTTCTTTTTTTTTCTTTTTTTCTATTTATTCAGTCTGAGGTGAGACTATCTGCTTGTACAGTCAAACGCTTTCTTGTTTTAGGGCATTTTCTGAGTTGCAATCTTCCAATCTCAGCAGATCTCAGGGATGCGTCATGGTACTTATGGTTTATTAAGGTGGTTGCGAGACAGTGCAAATTCTAAAAGCTGGTACTTGGAACAGACCTGCGTAATTCTGGAGTAATTCTGACCATGGCTCGAGGTGACCGATGGCTTCATTGTATGTATTTACTGATTTTGATTCTATGAAGTTCCTATGCATTTCTTCTTCTTCATGTTTGAGTGTTCTAATTTCCTCCCAAGCGCCGCCGCAAGTGGATCAACAGTTCCCCATTTTACAAAGGTGCAATGGTTTCCTTAGAATCAATTCAAGCTTGCTGCTGCCAAATTCGTTGAAGAGATCAATGTCCTCTTCACAAAACCATCTAAGTGCCTGTACGCCTTGTTCCTGAGAGCAGTTTCCACCTTGCTATTCACTGCGGACACCCATCCGCAATGCAAAAACTCACTTTCAACCAATAAAAGCTCAAGAGAGAAAATCTTGAACACCACCACGCGGATCTCATATTTTTGAATCTGAGGGGTGGTGAGAGCCCGCTCAGAACTCCAAACGTTTTGCTAGACCGAGATGAATGACTTACCAACCACATTAATGAAGACTTCTGACGTGCTTGCCGACGCAAATGTGCAGAGAGTTCAGATGAACTTGTGAGTAGAAGTTCAATGAAGGGGATATGTCCTGATGATAGTGGAGGCTTAACTGTTACAGTGGAGGACAAACTTGGACCAAGTAGTAATAGTAGATCAGGTACAGGCAGGGAAGGTCTTGCAAGTCTTTCTATCTTGCTCTCATGAAACTTGATGACTCGTGAGATGTGTTCAGTTATTGTTGCAAAGTCCTTTCGTCAACGCTAGCGATAACAATGCATCTGTAGCTCTTAGTGCTGCACAAATCTCGTCGCCGAGACAGGGCACGAACTAAAGCCTCTCTACATGATTTTCGAGGTGTAGAATTAGAGCCTGCAAATGGAGGCAGTCTTCGGTGTTCCGCTGGTTCGGCCGAGCACTGACGTTGAGGCGCCAACATCAGTGACAATCTATTTGTGAACAAAAAAGTGCGAATTGTCGGTTCATATCAAAGTGCCGCCACGGGTATGTTATAGTTTGCCAAGTGATATATTTATTTATTTATTTATTTATTTAATTGGATTTTTACATCTAATTGACATTGTAAATTGTGACTTGAATTAAATTTTAGGAAACTGAGCCTAGTTTATCTAAACTACTAGTGGTCTATAAGTTTAGAATTTCCAGCCCCAAATTGTCAACATGATAGTGTAAAATTTGCTAATTTTTTATTTAATGCCAAAAATTTTAGCAAAATTGAACTTATTCGTGTCTAATTTTGGTTTGTCAAGATAAGCCTTGATCTTGATTTTAAATGTGTAGTATTTGATTTTTTATCTGATTTTTTATATTTATTTTTTTAAGGTTTTTCTTACAAAAAAGAAGTGTATGATAGGTTTGGATATTATAAATGTAAATACAAAGAAAGACAACTTTGATCCTGACACCCTTGACATGTTGATATAAGGACAATAAAAAACTATATAACCTGAGACAAACTTGTGTAGGTTTTATACTATATTGTGCATAATAATGTCACTTTTTGGCACACTTGAGTTTCAACTATAATCATATTGGATCTAAATTCAATAATGTTTTTTTGTCATATACATTTTATTCCACCTTTATGAGAAGATTAACTTGAATGTAGGATTTATTTCAATCCTTTTATATGTGACTCTCCATATAATTTGTCTATCTTTGATGAGAATTTTCTACATAAGGTTTTTAAATTGGAAATCATACTATATCTGAAATTCATAAATAAATTTATATTTTTAAGTCAAAATTTTTTACATACACAAACTTCTTAATAAAAACTAAATAGTGGATAATCTTTCAAATTATTTATGTAAAAATAATTATCTTCTATTTAAATATTTTCTATATATTCTATTTTAAGAAAAAATTAACTTTTATATGATTGATATAACCTAATTCCAATTATATTTGGTTTGTGCCTGCTTATAAAATCTATACAAGATAGTCTCTTATTGTAAAGAAAGCATTGAAGATAATTATTATCGATTTGAGAACTAAATCATCTTTTTCATTCATTTACAACTATTTTTTTGTATTTCATAAGCCAAATAAGCTTAATTTCTTTATAATCTTATGTTTGAAACTAAATATTATGCTATTTAAATAACAAATGAAGTTTTAGAATAGAATTCTATTTGATAGAGTCAAATTTATAAAATAATAGATTACTACATGTTAAAACTTTGTCTATTGTTATTGCAAATATTAAAAATTTAACTTATGATAATAAATAATATCTATTAGGATAAAAAAATAAAAAATAAAAAATAGAATCATTGATTATTTCAAAGAAGATTTTATATTTTCATCTTGATTATTTTTAAATATATTTTTTGAAAAGATTCTTACAAAAATTAGAAATACTTCTACTTAATATTTTGGTTAATTTAAATGAAACTAATTTTAGTTAATTAATTAATTTTTATCATAAAATGATATTTTTGACTATGCATTTATACTATATATATATATATATATATATATATGCATAATATATTTTCTATTCTTTTATATTAAATAAAAAGTTAAAATATAATCATTTTTGAAGTTGTATAGTTACATCTAATTATTGAATTAAAAATATGTAATATATATTTTTATCAATTAGAATTAAATTTTTAAAAGATTAAAGATTAATGAAATCCAAAAATATATATCTTAAGGATTTACTTTATAAAATATTTTAATTTATTTTATAAAATATTTTGATTTATTTTAGTATTAAAATTAGATAGAAATCATTATATAAATCTTTTATGTTTTGAAGATATTGAGTAAAATGAGGAATTTTTTTTTAAATAAATGTATTCCTTTATGAATGAAAATATCAAGTTCCATCAAAATAACATATTATAAATAAAATAAAAAGAATTTTTGGTTATATAGACAAATAAATAATATCATTGATGCTTAATCTTTATTAATTTTTTGCCAATTTTTGGAATATATACTCTACTTATAATTAGTTTAAATAAACCTTATAATGGTTTAGAGTATAACATTTAGTTATAATGAATTTGGCTAGAAGAGCTTTAATTCTATTTTTAAGCTCCATTACAATTAATCTCCTTTGTTCTTTAGGTTTGCAACATATTAATTATTCAACTTTGTATTATGTCAAAATTTTCATATTAATTAAAAAAAATAAATATAGACCTATATTTAATTTTTTTAAATAGGTTTTAAGATACTAGTTCATATTAAAAAAATATTTAAAATATAAATATATATTATTAATAAGCCATATAAAATATTAAGATTTTAAGCCATATTTAATTTTTTAAATTAATATTTAAATTAATATTTAAATCTACTAATTAAAATATCATAAATATTATATATTTTTATTAATAATCTAAAATAATTACAAAAAAAAATTATTTAAATTATTAATCAAAGTCCATGTTTTACAAATAATCTTAGTCCACAAGAGCTTTATTGTTTTTTTAAATTTCTATTATGTTGCAAATTTAGACCAATTTGTTTCTGGTCTTGAAGCAAAACAAAATTCAGGTATAGTCTTAATTAAACTATATTCATTAGATTTATCATCATTTCTAGTAATAAGAACTAATATTAATAAATTAAAAAATAATTTATAAAATAATTATAACTTAAAGCTATTATTTTTTATATTCATATACGTCTTATAGTTTAGAAATAATAAATGAAATTTTATTTTCTTATAATATTTAAGAAAATATTAAAATTAATATTACAAAGTTTTTTATTTTATTTTAGAACAGATTTTAGGCTCTTAATTTTTCCTTTCTTCAAACTTGCTTAATTTATTTTGAATAGATTTTAAACTAAATTACATAACTTTACTTTGAAAGTATGTTTGGAACTTGTTGCATATCTCTATTATTATATCTTGAAGTTCTATAATTTGATTTAATCTTTTAAATGTTTGATTTTTGTTAGTTTTTTATAAAAATAAAAAATATTATTATTTTACTTATATAATATTATTTGGATTAAGCAAGAGCTTATATAGCTTGAATTTATTTCAAAATTGTTAAATCTTTGAATTATAATATATTTATTTTATACATAAAAATTCTTAGTAATAAATTTTGTATATAAATAAATAATTCTATTAAATAATAAATTGATAAAATAATATTACATTAATAGATGACATTAGATATGAAGATGTTTATGGAATAAACATAGATAGCACTTAAAAGCATGATCTAAATGATATAACAGATGAAAGTAATCTTAATCCATTCTTATACTTCAAACAAACTTCTAATTGCCTTACAACAAGAAGTAAATGTGGCAATCTATCTTCAAATCTCAAATAATTGATAAAGAAGTCCTACCAAACAATTCTATATTCAAGAGATGGATTGCAAAATTATGGATATATCACTTGAATATAAAGAATCAAAAATAATTAAAGTAGTTATCTCTTTAACAAATAATGAATTGTCTAATTACAAGACATTTGTAATACAGTATCAAGACATTCTATTCAAAGTAGTCTATAACTACACTCTATTGATCTAAAGCTCAAATGTAATTATACAAAAAGAAAGGAAAATGAATCCCAACTTATAAATGATGGTCAAAGTAGAATTTGAAAAAAAATTATAAGTGGAATTTATTCAACCAAAAGAAATTATGGATTAGGTCATACTTATGCTGTTGGTTAAGAAAAAAAATGGCAAAACTTTGAGTATGCATTGACTACATGAAACTTAATAAGTGCACTTAATATGACCACTTTTCACTCACTTTTATGAACATTATTCTAAAAGAGGTAGTAATAAATGAATTATAAATCTTTATAGATGAATATTCAATTTATAATCAAATTTTTATAGCACCTAAGAATCACCATACAATAACTTTCCCTACACTTTGAAATACATTCATTTATATTGTTGTGCCTTTTGGACTTTATAATATTCATGCAACATTTTAAAGAGCCATGATATATGCATTTTCAGATTTGTTGCACAAGTCAATGATTGTGTCCATTGATGACTTTAGCACCCAATCATCTAAGATAACATATCATGCTTGTGTATGGGCAAGTTTTTAACATTGTGGAAAGTTAAGAATTAACCTCAATCTTAATGAAAAAAATTTATCAATTTACAAAGACGTCCAACTTAGCTATATGTTATTTAAAAAGAATAGAAAATCAAATTTAGAAATATGAAGGTAATTATAGAATTAACTTCACTTTCATATATAAAAGAAGTTCAAAGAATCCTAGGCCACATAGGTTGGTATTAGGAGGTGATATACAATTATGCTATTATCCCCATGCCTATTACTAGACTTTAACAAAAAGATATAAAGTTTAAATAGACTAAAGAATGTCAATATGTCTTTAAAATACTTAAGAAAATGATAAGTATACATTTTGTTTTAAAACTACATAACTAGACATTGCTACTTGCATGTGTTTTGTGATGCTTCATGCATAGCAGTATGAAGTATTTTGTACCAATTTATAGATGAAAAAATAAAGGACTACTCTATAGCCTCTACCAATAGATAGTTAAATCTAAATGAAAAGAATTAGACCACCACTAAAAAAAAGTATCCGATTATAGTGTTTTGAATTAAAAAAAATATAGACATTACCTTCTCCTGCAACTTGTAGTATTTTTTGTAGACCACGTGGCTATTAAATATCTTGTAAAAAAAGACTTGATTGATAGAATTACAAAGTGAATCCTTCTATTGAAAGAATTTAACTACATAGTATAATATAAGTCCAAAAAAATATATAAGCAAGTTTACCACTTATCACAATTATTAGAAGCAATCAGGATAGCTTCTATCAATGACACATTAATTAATGTAAGCTTATTTATTATCTCAACTATTTCTATTTGACATGAATTTATTATAAAATTTCTAATGGCACAAGCTTTATCTTTCCAATTGTCAAAGATTAAATATTAAAAAAATTCCATTAATAATAGATACTTTGTCATAGTAAGAGTCAAGTTATATTAATAAAGAATAGATAGGATGTTGAGTTATGTATGAAGGGAGAAAATATTCCAACCATCTTTTTAACATGCTATGATAGGCTACTTCTTTAAAAACTTGATTAGTCAAAAAATACTTAGATCATATTACTACTATCCTATTTTATTTTAAAACATCCATAAGTACATGAAGACATGTGATGCATGTCAACAATATGCTAGAAACAATCTTAAAATTAACTTATTTCTTTATGTATTCTTATCTTTAGTTCCATTTGAAAATTGAGGCATTGACTATAAAAAAGATTTTTATTCAAATTCTATTAGTGAGATGAAATAACTTATAGTAACAATTGAATACCACACTAAATATACTAAGACTAAAGCAATTAAAATCAATAATGCCAAATATGTGGTTAAATTCCTATGTGAACAAATCATCACTTATTATGGATGCCCAAAAATCTTGAGTAATGATAGAAGCAAATACTTTTTAAATAAAGTAAAATATGACTTAACCTTAAAATTTAGAACTAACTATATAAAGACTATATCCTACCATTCCTTGGCTAATGGTCATATAGAACATCTTAATCAAACCTTGATAAAAATCCTTAAGAAAACTATCACTAATTTTAAGAGGGATTGAAATATTAAGTTCCCAACAATCTTGTAGCTTATAAGACCACTTGTAAGATAACAACTCAAGCTATCTTTTTTCCTTAACCTATGATATAAAAACCAATTTATCTGATGAATTTAAAATCCCTTCCTCTTGAATTATTTGGATAGAAAGATTGTCTGATAAATAGTACTTAATAGACCAATTAGAATGTCTAGAAGATTTGAATGAAGCAAAAAGAAAGATTATAGAATACATAGAGGCTTTATAAAGAAATAAAGAAATAAATAAATAAAACCTTTCACAAAAAGTAAAAGCTTAGGACTCTTAGATAAAATACTAACATCACTAACAGATTACTTTTTACATTAGAATAGTAATTTAAGAAAATTCTTTTGGATTCTTTTCCTTTGCAAATTGACCCATATGGTCACCATATGTGAATCATTGATATGACTCTTTTGTATTTTTAGAGTAAAAATTGCACTTATAGTGCCAAAAGTACAATTGTTAGGTGAAATTAGTATGGGAAATTTTAGATGAGAGGAAATTAAGATTAGTTATTAGAAAGAGACTCCTTGTAGGAATTGCAAATTTAGTTTGCATGGATAATTTTATTCTATTAGTGTAAAACTTCTTATTCTTTCTTACTGTGACAATAAATATATATATATATATATATATATTAAATGGTTGATAGATCAATCAAGGATGTTCATGAACAACTAACACTCAATGAAGAACTCAAGGGATTGAAGAGCGTATCATCTCTGGCTGCACAAAATATGGAAGTGAGGGCTCCATTGACTTCAAATTTCGAGAATGGGCCATCTCTAATTGACACCCTTCGAGTGGTTTCTTATTTTGCCAGGACCACTGCACTGGCTAAAAAATCCAAAAATTACGAAAGGAGGCTGTCGAGAGGAGTATGGCGGATTCTGTCTGGGTCTATCTTTTTGCTTTTTTCCTACCTTGTTTTTGCTTCGTTGTGTGGCGGCGATGTCGCTAGGTTGACCAGTGCTGCCTCGTTGTAGTTGTTGCCTTGCAAAAAGGTTGCTGCTGGAGCAGCGCAAGATCTTTGTTTTGCTCTCGCATTAGATTCCTGCGGTAGGTGGCGGTTTTTGTTCTGCACCACTACTTGTTCTCCTTGGGTTTTTGGTCGATATCGACATCAGCTCTTGCTCCATTTTTTTTCTTTGTGTGGCAGTTGTTGTCAACGCTTCCCGAGCTAGTGTTCACGCTGGTGTTCGTGACTAGTGGCAGCTATGTGCTGGTGTGGAGTTCCATTATCTCTTCATGCGACGGTAAGCGTTGGAGCTACGAGGCGGTGCTGCCATTCTTATTGTCCTTCTTTTGCTGGAAGTGAATTCATGGTGTTAGAAGCTAACGTGAGTTGTCAACGTTGATTTGGTGAATGCTACTTCAGCTCGCTTGTAGGTGTCCAGTAGCATTGGGCGGATCTTGGGCAGTACGATGGTTGTCGACAAATCCTGGTTCTTCTTCGTAGTGTGCGGCTGTAGCAGAGAATCTTGTTCCAGTTTCGTTCTCTGTGGTGTTCTCCATGTGATTGGAGTTCCTGGTTTCAATCTCTCTCGCAGACGTCTCGATGTTTGTTAATGGCTCTTGTTAATGGTAGCTGGGTTGTGAAGAGCCGTTGTGATTGATCAACGCGTGGTCGCGTGGAGATTTGACGTTGAGGCTAGACAAGCTGTTGGTGAGCCGAGCTACTGTGCTCAACAACATCAAGAACAGAGTAGGCGTGGGCAAACGGAGCCCTTCAGTGGACGAACAATTGGCTGCAACGTTCATGGTGGAAGAGTTAGTAAGAAAGGCGGAGCTGTTCCTGATTGCGGGTCCTTATTTTCTTTGACTTTTGTTATTGCCTCGTCACAAGCGTTGCTTTGGGGTCAACCCTCTTAATCAGCTCGAATGATGTAACTTGGCTTTCAAGACAAGCTCACCAGTCCTGGTGGTTGGAGATTAGTGTGTTAGAACCCTGCTATTTGAGTGGTGACTGTTGTATGGGAGTTGGATTGTATCCAGTGAGAGCTTGCATCTGAAGGACTTTTATCTCGATATACATCGAATCCTACGAATCCTTCAAATCCTTTTTTTATATAAAAATCTTACGTCTAGGTCTTACAATTTGCAACAAACCTTAAGTGTTGTTAACCACAACTCTTGGTGTGACAAAAGAGGGTCTATGTAGTATGGTTTGAATGTGTGTTGTTGCTACATTAAGGCTGGTTATTTTAATGACACATCTTTTAAGTCACCTTCCAATGCCCATGCCTTCATTACTACCATAGGTCGGCATCCCTTAGACCTTCATATTGTAGCCGCAGTCTCTTTAATATAACACTTTGGTTATATTAAGTCCAAGTGCTTTAATTATTTGACCAAAAAATAAAGATGTTTCAAAAATGGTGGTTGCTACAATTCAAATTCTATCTTCTCTTAGCATTTTGTTATGAATCCTCTCAAGAATTTTAATCCATATATCCTTTAGCAATGCTTGTGGTGCCTTAGAATTCAAATCTTTTAAAATAAATGATTTGAATAACCTAACTTATTGTTATTGTCACACATTTCCAATTTGTAGATTCAATTTATTAGTTGCACCTCTTCACACTTCATGTTGTGCTTGTAATATAGTAAATAACCTAGTTCATTCATATGACATAAATAATCATTGCATGTTTTATAAAATAATATTAAGAAAAAAAAAAAAAAACTTGTTTATTATAGGATAATCTTTGGTCTTGAATAGAGCTATAACTAATGCCAATTTAGCTTCAATAGTCTTCAAATTAAAATCATCCTCATTTTCATACTTATTGCTATTTATGTTTTTTTTAAAAATATATATATTTTGCTCCATGCACCTTTTCTTTTCAATTATTATTATTATCTTTAGCATTTTCCTTAAGTCGCTTTACATTGGCTAGTCTAAACTCTAGATAAAAGGTCTAATATTTGATTGCATAGTAGATTAAAGATTTACAATCTAAGAAATATTTATTCTTAGATTGATTAGGCTTGGTTTTTTCTATCTCTTTTTGCCTATTATATGATGATATGTTTATTACTATCAAAAATAGATTTATTCTTATATAGGGTTTTAGATGTTCTTTTTATTATAGTCACAATAGTATTTTTTCTTAACAAATTAATTGCAATTGAATTTGTGGTCAAAAAATAATCCTAAAGTAAATAGATTGTTAGACAATAAGCTCAATATTATAGCCTTGATCAATTCTTTGAGCTCAAAGTTAAGAATATTATATAAGTAGTGGATTGCTTAAGAAATGGTAACTCTTTGAGTACTTTTGACCAATCTCTATAATTGATTATAAAAATGAAAATAAGTTTCTTTATCTTTTAATTAAAATTATTAGAGTTTTAATATTTTTTCAAAATATTAGCCTTAATAAATAAATTTAAATACCTCAAAGAAATTTAAGATATGATTGAATTTAGGTTTTTGTTTATCACCTATAAACTTCACATCTAAATTTATCTTTTCATCACTTGTCAAACTATTACCACCAACTTTGTGTCCTTCAATGTGCATTTGTGCTTGAAATAAATTCTTGAAGTTTGGTGCTCAATAATTCTTAAACTCTTCAATTTTTGAAACATGTTTGGCTTCAAATTCTAAATAATTGTGCATAAGGGCATCTTCCAAATATCTGAGGAGTGTTTGCCATATACTACAAGGATTATACATTGATCTTCTTTTAGTTTGGTAATTACATCATATTCCAAATTTAATGATAAAATTATCAAATCTAATTGTGCCTACCATTACAAAAAATCTTCTTAAGCCTTTGATAGTTCCATAAGTACAAGTCAAGTCTTCATCACTCTTGTAATTTATTGTAGATCCACTACCTTCTTCTTCTAATAAGAAATGGTCAAGTTCTACTTTGTGTGAATTTAAATCTCCTACAAATTCTACCTCTTCTTTTGCCATCACTTGATCAAGCAAATAGATCTTCAAGTTGCAAATCTATGTATAACAAGAAAGCACATATATTATATTATATAGATAATAAATTCTATATTCTATAAGAATATTTAATTGTAGTTAATTTTTCTAGTGTCTTTTGTGTTTTTATTAATATAATAGAAGTAAATTTGAAATTCTTATTTAATGAATAAAACAAAAAAATCCTCTTTCCAACCAATTGATCTAATCTAAAAGATAAGCTTACTTTGATATACAATAGATACATATAATTTCAGCATTAGTCTTTGTAGATTTTTTTAAATAATCAAATTCTATCCAAACAATTTTCATACAAGAGCATTACTAAACTTCTGAGTAACATATATATATATATATATATATATATATATATATTTTCATTGGTTTTAGTATTAGAGATACTACATTGTAGATCAAGTATGTCTTTATTACATTTAATGAACTTAAAATGATTTATGAGTAATATACCTATCAAGTTAATACAATATTATATCAATAGTTTAAAAAATCTGAAAATATAAAATAAAATCATTATAATTATTAATAGTATCAATAAAATCATAAAAGAATGTGATATCTAGGTGTATTAATTCTTTATTTGTTAAGAATGATTTTAAAAAATAAAAATAAAAATAAAAAAATCTCCTTAGTATTCTTTGCTTTAAATTATAAACCAACAAGTAGCTTCAAACTAATATTAGTAGAAAATTTTCTAGGTCCACTCTAAGAGAAGGAATACAATGATACCACATCATTTAAAGAGTGGGTTTGCTTTCCTTTGTAATCAGCACCAAGGATAAAAACAACTCTCCACATGCAAACAAGCCCTAGTAGTGACTGATTGGGGTTGAGAAGAATGGGAATGCAATCAAATTTGTACACGTGGCATGTGGCCATTGGCGGTATAATGTTTTAAATAAGGGAAGGGAAGGCTTGGAGCAGAGCTGGACGGGGGAGGGGGGGGGGGTTTAAGGCAGCAATTTCTGGATAACGTCCTGCCCAGAGAGAGAGCGCGCAGGCAGGGAGGGGCTCATAACATTGTTTTTCGGGAGGATTGCGTACTCCATTTGTCTCGCAGCAACCGGATCAGCTATGGCGTCTCATTGCTGCTGCCCCAGGCAGGTAGTCTCAAACTCCGTCACCTCCCAATCCTCGCTTTTTTCGCCCTTAAACCACCGTCGTATTGCTCCCCCAGCTGCGAGGACCCATCTGTTGTCGTCGCTTCGGAATCAGGGGTTGAGTACCGTTTCTCTGACGGGGTTGAGGGTTGAGGGAAAGGCCTCGGAGGCGAGAAGATGGAGCACTCGCGCCAGTGCGGCGGGGATGGGAGCAGGCGCGGGCGGCGGCGAAGCGATGGGAGAGAACGAGAGCCCGTATCTAATACTGGGTGTGAGCGCATTGGAGAAATTCGAGGTAATTAAGGCTGCCTATGGAAGGAGGCGCAAGGATGCGGAGAAGAGAGGGGATGATGCGACCGTAGAGCGGTTGGATAAGGCCTATGACAGGATCATGATGATGCAGCTGTCGAACCGGAGGAAGGGGATTTCGTTTGGTGGAGTTGGAGTCTCCAAGGAAATCAAGTATGCGGACAAGCGGTCGTGGTTTCCATGGGGGCCCAAGAAGGCGGTCGTGGAAAAGAACGACATGCTGATCAATCTGGGTATTGCAGTCCTCCTCACGGCGTGGTGTGCGGTGCTCGGAGGGCAGACCGACTGGAAGCCCCTCCAGTTCATGATATTTGGCTACATTTTCCGCATCTTTACCAAATTGGGAGAGTTTGATGCGCCGGCTCCAAGCTCCTTTGTAAGCGAGGACGAGGAGGGAGAGGAAGGTGGCGCTGCACCGGAAGACACCGGCCGGAGGCTCAGAAATGGGAAGCGGTTGCTTCGAACTCTAGGGTTAGTCTTCAGTTGCGTTGCCTTCGCGTCTCTTGCGTACACGGGGACCTTGAATGCATACGAGTATTTTCTTCAGTATGTTCCAAGGGTTTTGATGGGAGCCCAGGAGCTTTTTGTCACCGGAGTCACTGCAGTTGGCCTCTTCATCATGGCCTCCTTCTACCGATGACCAAGGGGGCTGTAAAACAATCAGATATGACTTTGTATCAGGACAGGATACTTACGGAAGAGTTTTAGGAGATAGCAAAATGAACTGCAACGAGAATTTTGTCGAATTTCTATTAATAATAAAAAAAGGGTTTAGGGTTTAGGTTGCGGAGATTGAAAGAGCTTCTGAGGTACCTGTTAGGTAGGGATCCTGTAATCTGTAAGTAATACTGGCCTTTGAGGATTGATGCGGTATAAGCTACACAGATTCATGGTAGTTTTGAATTGTGGATATTGTGACGTGAACTACCATGTTGAGTCTGTTTGCATTGATCATCTCTTCCGTTATCTGTCTTCCTGTTGTTGGTTTGTTACCGTGTAGGCTGCTAAATGAATCATCTCAAGCACAGAAGCAGCTTGAGCAAGGCAAGAATTCTGTGTTGACAAGAGTGCCGACGATCGTGTTGTGACTGCCTTTGCCGCTGCCATCAATAGCAACAAACCGGACTGAAAAAGAGGCATTTCTTTTATTTATTTTTGTATGCTTGTTTCTGATTTTAGTGCTTTTTGTATCATTATATCTCTTCTCTTCCTTGTGAGATAAAGGGCTACTTCTCATCTAAGCTTGTGTTATACACTAAGCATTGGCAGAGTGGTTAGTTGATGTCGTAGCACTGGAAATTCTAGATATGGATTAAGCTACGGATCATGCTTGTATGGTTCGGTTTAGTAAAAGTAACAGTTTTACATGTTAATATTTTAGAAACCCTCAAAATTTCTTCTTGGTTATAATAACAGGATCCTGGAAGTTTCAAACAACTTATCTAAATTTTTGAAATCTAGAAACGAAGTTCCTAAGTGATGTCCCCTTTTTCTTATTTTTAAGAAGTAAACTGAGGTTTTAAATGCTTTTAAGCATTCAATAGATTCATTTAAATTTGCCATTCCATAAATGGAGAAAGCACTTCAGAACATTTTTGAAACCTGTTTCTTTTACTACATGAGTAATGAAAAGATTTGTAAAGCAGTCGAATGATATCAACTTAAATAATCTAAGACTCGTAGGTTGACTTTTTCTTGTGTGAGGTGAATTCTAGTTCTATCAAGTCTTTACTGGTCCAATTGAGCTTTAGATGAGTGTCTAGCAAAGTTTTTAATCCTCTAACAAGGCATGAAGTGAAATCACAGAATTTAATCATGCATAATATGTGTTTAATAGACTGTATACGATGTACAATTCAACATAATAAAAAATTGGAGAAAAATTACAGTAAATTGATGTTAAACATACAATATTTAATCTGAAGATAACAAATGTTGTAACCATTTGGAAATCTGTGTATTTACCTAATTATTGTATTACTAATAAGTAAAATGTAGGTAATAGAATTCTGTAAGACTCTTTGTAAATTGCATGATCACGACAATTGAAGATAAAAACTTTATTATTGTAATTTAAATGCTAATTACTAGCAATAACCAGCATAATCTGTTATTTTTTTGTAAGCAATTAATAATAAAACTATTATGATACTCATTCTCTTAGGTTTTTATCCTACACTTATACCATATTATTAATAAAAATCAATTTAATAGTAATATTATGGTAGTAATTTTGTGTCTTAAAGTTGTAAAATTAAAGAGTAATTTATTTGCAACATTTTTCAATTTCTGACATATAAAGTTTTTGGGTATCATTTTTATTTGAAATATAATTTCATTATTATTAAATCATAAATTTCTATGTATTTTTTAAACATTATAATAAGTTTTAAACTTATAAGCCTCCTAAATTGATATTAGATTTTTTAAAAAATATTTATTTATAATTTCAGATTATGAATATTTTTAAAAAGATTATGTTATATCATTGTATATTATAGTTTATGTGTTTAAGATTTTTAAATTCAAATATTCAGTGGATTTTTTAAAACCTTCATATTAATATATTCATTGATTAATATATACTTTATTTTAAATATTTTTAATAATTTAGTGTCATAATTATTATCGTTTAAAAAACATAATGATTTATAATTTATAGTAATTTTTTTTACAAATTTCAATTAGAATACTCTTAATCAAAATAAATAAATAAATAAATAAATAAAATAGTCATTCCAATAATCTGAATAATATGGTTTTAAAATATTTGTTTATGTATATTTTACTTTAAGACTAATTGTAAAAATTACTACCAATTTTAAAAGTTCTTATTCTTTATATACTTCTGAATATTCTGAATTAAAATCTCAAGTAGTTCATGTAATTAATTAGCAAATAATATTTCAAAGGAATAATTTTGATTCTTTTTACCTTTTATCTCCCAAATTTACTTAGTCTTACAAAGTGCAATTATCATTTTGTAAGAAATTGAAAAAAAAATTAGTCAACAATTTCAGTATCATTGTTTAATCTCAACATTGATTTTCACATTTTAAATCAGTGATATAGTATAATTTTTACAATACGTGTGACTAAGCACATATCATTTGTTCACACAACAATTGCCATAGTTTTCTTAACAATATCAGGTTTTTTTTCAGCAAAAATGCATTTTATGTGTTCCAATCATGTTCCACAATATTCGTATATTTCATCATGATAAATTAGATTTTCAATATAGATTTCCATTACTTTTTACACAATAATAGTGAGGAGAGATTTGTATTACTTACTTATTTATGTATTTTCTCCCATTTTATCCTCTGTCGCTCCCAACCTCATTTATTTGCATATTCCAGTCGTTACTTCTTCCCTACTTTGAAAATCAGAAATAATTTGCATGCCAAAATTGTACCAACACTAATGCTACAAATAAACAAACTTCGAATTTATGCAAATATTTATGTTTTTACGAATAAAGACATAGAAAACAGTTATATATCCTACTACACAAGCATTACTATTATTTTGATATTTTTCCATTTTCGGCACCAATTATAATTTAGAGTGCTAGTGATGAAATTGTACAAAACAATGAAACAAGTGTCTTCTTCTTCGACTGCGGAACACTATTAAAACCTAATTAAATTATTGTAAGAATATCATGTTCGTTTGATTGGACAGGAAGTTTCCCTACTTGTTTATTTAACTTTTAAAGTTTATTTCCTCCTTTTTTCTCACTTTCTCATTCTTTTTCAGAACAAGGAGGAAATATGGCGGGAAAACACTCGATCTAGGTGGCTGACCCGGTCCAGCACCGAAAGCTCCGTGGATTCTGAAAGTGGTGGGCGTGGAGAATCCGACGTGGCAATGATCATACGTGGGAGGACCTGCCGTGGCAGTGATCCGACGTGGCCAAGCTCCGCCCGTCCCTCTAGGGTTTGGAGGAGAACAATCCAGAGGGTGCGGGAAAGGGAAGCTCGATGCGAGAGCTGTTTTCCAGGCTGAAGAAGAAGACATCGAAGAAGCGAGGGCATGGCGCGGTGTTGATCGCTCGCACCAGGTACAGTACTTCGTTCTTTTCACTGCGCTCCCGCTCTGTTTGCACCCCACATGTGGCCTTGAGTCGTAGATTTTTCCATCTTCTTTCGAGATGCCGGGCATAGGCGAGGTGCTGGCTCTGCCAGCGCCTGAGGAGGGCGGTCTTGGAGTGCTGCCGGAGTCGCAGCTTCCGGCCGATGTCGAGATGAAGGAAGCGCCGGTGGCGCACAAGCCTCCCCAAACGGTGGCGACGCAGACGAAAACCATTGGTATGATCCACCCGCCACCTGATATTCGTAGCATTGTGGATAAAACGGCGCAGTTCGTTGCGAAGAACGGCCCTGAGTTTGAGAAAAGAATTCTCGCGAACGAGAAGAACAACGTGAAGTTCAATTTCTTGAATTCGGTCGATCCGTACCATGCCTATTACCAGCATCGAGTAAGCGAGTTCAAGGCACAGCTTGCTCCGCCTGTCGGTGGGGCGGCGGTCTCTGCGCCGGTGAAAACAAAAGATGAAGTTCGGGCGGCGCAGGAGCAGGCGGAAGCCAAAGCAGAAGTAGTTGCTGCCAAACCCCCTATCAAAGTACTCGAGCCTCCCGAACCTGATGTATATACAGTGCACGTGCCTGAACTTGCTACAACCCTAGATGTAGACATTATCAAGCTAACAGCGCAGTACGTCGCACGGAATGGGAAGAGTTTTCTCACGGGGTTGACCAGCAGGGAGCACTCGAATCCACAATTTTATTTTTTGAAACCGACTCACAGTATGTTTACTTACTTCACGGCGCTGGCCGATGCCTATTCCAAGGTCTTAGTGCCGCCCAAGGGTCTGGTGGAGAAGTTGAATAAGGACGTGGGGAACAAAACAGGTATTTTGGAGCGGTGTTTGCATAGATTGGAATGGGAGAGGTCTCAAGCAGCAGCTCGGCAAAAAGCGGAGGATGAAATCGAGCAAGAGAGGATGCAAATGGCGCTGATCGATTGGCATGACTTTGTGGTAGTGGAGACGATTGAATTCGCCGAAGAAGAAGACGATGAATTGCCGCAACCTATGACGCTGGAGGAGGTAATTGCCAGGAGCAAGATCACCCCTGCAGACGAAGAAGAGGTGGAGGCCACTGAAGCTGGAAAGGAGATGGAGATGGATATGGACGAAGAAGAGCTGCAATTAGTTGAGGAGGGTATGAAGACGACGACGATTTCAGAGGGTAAGGATATAAGTGAGGATCAAGCAGACGAGGAAGAGGAGGCCCCCATGAGGATCGTGACGAACTGGAAACGTCCAGAAGAGCGACTGGTTGCTGAGAAGGATGCAATGAAGATGGTGGTATCCCCGATCACGGGCGAGCTGATACCGGTGAACGAGATGGCGGAGCACATGCGCATCTCGCTCATTGATCCCAAGTACAAGGAGCAGAAGGAACGCATGATGGCGAAGTTGCGAGAGACTACGCTTGCCACAGACGACGAGATCTCACGAAATATCGTGGGGCTGGCGCGGACTCGACCTGACATCTTTGGGACAACAGAGGAGGAGGTTTCGAATGCCGTGATGGCGGAAATCGAGGTGAAGAAAGACGAGCCAAAGCAAGTGATATGGGATGGACACACAGGCAGCATCGGTCGCACAGCCACTCAAGCCATGGCCCAGACAAACATGACGATTGATGAGCAAATAGCTGCAATACATAGAGACAAAGCCAATTTGACTGCAGATGGAAGACCTCTTCCTGGACCAGCTGCACCTCTGGTGCCGAGGTTGGCTCCTACTCCTGCACGACCACCTATGCCTCCTCCAGGTCTCGCATTGAACATCCCCCGTCCAGCAGGGCAGACTACAACCGGACCTCAGTTACCCCCTGTTCGACCACCAGTGGTTCTCCCTGCACCTCCAATGAGGCCTGCACCTGCTCCTCCAACTCTTCCTACCCCAGCTGTGATGCTTGTTCGACCTCCTCCTGCTCCTCCTACCATGATACCGCCGATGGGAGCTGCACCTAATCAGTATGCACCACTTCCGCCTCCACCACCGAGACCTTATCTTCCGGCTGTGCCATTACCGCCTCCACCTCCTCAGATGGGCATGCCGCCTCCTCCTCCTCCCGACGAATTTCCACCACCACCTCCAGAGGAGCCCGAACCAAAGAGGCAGAAACTGGACGAAATCTCACTTCTGCCAGAGGACCAGTTTCTTGCTCAACATCCGGTATGCACGAATTTCTTCTCAGAATTCCTTGTATCTATTTCGCTTTGTTGAATGCACTATATGGCTAATAGATTATCTGCCTATTCCGATAATTATTGGTAACAATCATGCATTGCAGAGCTATTAATCTGTCTTAGTTTCTGCAGTCTCTAACCGCTGTGGGTTTGTTTACTAAATTGGAAGAATGGAAACCGCAGATTAATCTTCAATTACATCTGTTTGTTTTCGTATCCACGTCGTCACATGTGACATGGTTTGATGCATGTTACTTGGATTCTTTTGAAGTTGGAAAAGTGCTTATGCCATCCTCTTCACCCAAATGTCTGGGCGTCTTTACTAGTAGTTCATTTTGCTTCCATGCTGAATGTAATGAATTTTGGAATTCCTAAACTTTTCTATGTTGTTAAGTAGAAGTGTTTTCTGACTTTCTGTTTCTCTCACAGGGTGCGGTACGAATCAGTGTTTCAGTTCCAATCGTCGAAGGCGAGGCTAATTTGAAGGGCCAGACTTTAGAGCTTACGGTGTTATCTTTGTCCGAGTCAATCAAAAGTCTCAAAGAAAGAATCGCAGGGGAGGTTCAATTGGCTGCCAATAAGCAGAAACTGAGCAGTCAAGCTGGGTTCTTAAAAGACAATCTGTCCCTAGCGTACTACAATATTGGTCCTGGAGATACTCTAACACTTGGTCTCAAGGAGCGAGGTGGTAGAAGATAAGCGAGATGTATATTAGCCATGCAGGTCAGCTGCCTAGGAAATACTCAGACTGCTTTCCTGCTTTTGTAGTTATCCTCTAGTTGATCATATGTGATAATCCTACAGCTCTCAAGACGTTTTGTAGAAGTGATTGGTAGTACACATTTCTTTCTGGAGTCCTTCAAACTATTTTTTGAAAGTTTGAGCTCTGCTATGAGTACATGTTAGCTGTGGTGCTGGAACTTGTGTTTTGAAATATGTGGCGTCTGGTATGTGTACGTTATGTATAGGAAAATGTGTATGTGAACGTGTTTTCTGTTCTATTGATCCAGCTACTGTACAACGTGGTGATACGATTTTCTGTCGCTGGTCCGATTCCGTAATTCAAAAGGCTGACATTTTAATTGACATTTACTGATCACAAAGGCGGTCTGTGTATGTACTGGAGGGAAGAAAATTACTGCATAAAAATGCTGTCTGCTTTTGGTTTCATTGTGTTCTCATTTGTGTCTGCAATGCACTCGTCAGCACTCTAAGTTTGTAGAGACCTTGGAGAACGCGGTAGACCGCCTGCTTCAGTGGTGGCGGCCTCCTTTCGGTTTTTGGTGAGTCTAGTCGATTTTCAGGTCTCATTTCATTCCGTGATGCCACACCACATGCGAATATGCTGGCCAATCGATGTTGATGTCGCTCATGCTGGAACTATTTTAACTGCAGGGCGAATATGATATCTGATCTTCCATTGTTTGCGTCTGTATCCTTCGACACCTAAGTGAGAATTTTGAATGAAGCGTTTTGCTGAACAAGCTATAAGAAATCCACCGAGTGATTTGAGGGTCTGATTGTCCAGAAATCCAAAGAACACGTTACAGAACTGGTGGTTAAATCACTAGCAACAAAAGTTAATGTAAACGTTGTAATTCTTGAGCGTTAAGGCACAGGCAAGTCTCGTTCAGCGGAGCTTGAATCTCTCAGAAAAGTTCTAAATCTGATAGCTGTGGGGCATTCAAGCGTGTCAAATGAAGTGCTGGCAGATGAAATAAATTCTTCGTGTGTTCGCTAAATGTACTATAGGCTTCTGGAACGACAAAGCTACAAATTCATCACTTGACCTGTTTGTGAAGTTGTTTCTGATGTTCAACTCATTACGTGCAGACAACTTGAATTCCATTGAGAGGTATTCACATCCACTGTAGCAAAGCCTACCTGGACCATGGTGGAGGAAACTTCCAGGCTTGCCTAGCACCAAATCAGAATCAGAACCATGCCAAGCACATCAATAATTGATTCCGAAAGTCCATGAAATCGCGACACTAACAAAATAACGGGGAAAATAAGTACTGTACACAAGCTTCACAGAGCATATCATTTCGCGAGGCTGAACAAAGACGACCTCACACTCGTCCATCTACCACTACCAAATAACTTCTCAAGAACAGACACTAATGTTAAGATTATCTTCGAAGAGGAAATTGTTCATTGTTGAACACTTCTGATAGATGGACCAACGTTATAAATTTCTGGTGCACTGTCCAGGATGGTGTCCTGTCCGACCCAAAAAAACTGACACCCACACGGGCTGAGTACATTCATGCACTCCCTCGAAAGCCAAATGAACTCCTCAAGGCTGTACCCTTGAGGTTGAAAATTCATTTCAAGACAGTCTCTTTAAAAAGCAGTCCTATTATCTACCCAACAGAGCTTCGCTAACGATTTTTTGCTGGCTATTACGACACACAACTGATTAAAAAGACAAAACAAAACAGTAGAATTAAATATAAGAACTAAGTCAAGCCAATTCACAACAAATTTAACAAACTAGAACCTGTAACTCACTCTGACTTTGACTTTAAGCATGTCAAGCGCATACTTCTGCACAAAACAGTTGTGATATGTTAGCAAAACAAAGTAAAGAAGAGACAATTTTTCTGCTATCAACAAACATGTACGGCAATCATTAACCTACAGAAATGCAAACAAGTCACAAGAATTGTAAATAGCATTCCTCTTTGAAACTCTTGAATATCTCGTTTGACTTAAATATTGCACTTGGTCAATAAATGCATTATTGACCAAGTGCAATATTTAAAACTTGAATAGTTTGAAATTTTTGAATAAATTATATAATCAGCTACTTATCTATAAATTTACACAAGAAATAAAGAGTTCAACTCTAACTCAAAAGGATGCGTCTATTATATCAAACATTTGGGTATAAGACAAAGTAACAAAGAGGAAAATGAGGAACAAAAAAATGCAAGGCTTTCCATGGCCCCGTAGTTTGGACGAGACTGCTTCTAAAAGCTTTTACAGCTTTTCCATGCCCAACAACACGAATTTCTTCCAGTTATCAAATATGTAAGATTAGTTCTGAAATTGATTACAGATTGTATTAAAAAATAAATAAATAGGGATTTAAATTCTTAAATATTGAAATTATTTTACTTGAATAACTTAACTAAGTAAATTTTAACAATCTTATAATTACCAATTAGATCGTATGTAAAAAAAAACTAAACCTATTTCTTTTAAATAAATTAATTGTTGCAAAAACTTCAAAAATTTTTAATTAAAAAATAAAATCGCAAGTTGAAATTAACTGCGCATTAAACCCATCATTAAACTCAATTCAGTTACCTTACCCATTTTTTTGAATTATCACAAAAAATTATGGATAAATATCACATTTTTCATTTTTTAACCTCAGTAAGCGGCAAAGTTCCTAAAATTGCAAGAACGATATAAAGTTACAACATTTACTTTTCCGTCATTGTGACGCGGCTTCCCGAGAGTCGGACCTTTAAAGGAAGCGTGAGCTTTTTTGAGGAACTGTCAACACTTGTTGGCTTCCGGGCTATGGCGGCGCATGGATCTGTGCAAGGAAGCGCTGCAGACAAGACCCACGATGCATGCAGAATGGTCGTCCTCAACGCTGGACATGGACTAAAATCCGAGCAATGTAACAGTTCATGGAAGCGTGACAGGAGCTGTGAGCACGCTGCGTCAAAAAACACTTATCGATTCCTTCAGAAAGGTTTGTCACCCTGCTCATGCATCGTCATTGAAATTGTGTTAGGGTTGGTTTCCTGCCAAGACGTGGGCGTTTGCTGAGTTAATTCAGTCGCGTGCATGATAAGAAAAATAATGTCCGAAATCCTAGTCGTTTTCGACAAGGATAGCTGTTGTGTCGTTTTTGGTTCGAAGAGTTTCTATGAGGTCTGCTATATGTGAGATTGTGGGGTGGGGCAGTTCATAGTGGTAGCAACGTGTGCGGCATTGCGCGAAGGCATGTGCATCTTGTAGGTCTTGCGTGTGATGTTTGAGCATTGATGTAATGAGGAGAACTGGTTTTACAGCACGTAAAATGTAGCGTCCGGGGGTTACTGATCATGAGGTTTCCACTTAGAGTGACGAAGGTAGTTAGGAGGGATTGGTTGCAGTTGTGTATGTCACAGGTCATGCTGTGCTGGACGATGCAAATGGCAGAATTGAAGAGGTGTCCACCGGTGAAGCATTCCGATTGAACGACAAGCGTCTGACGGCAGCTCTCTTTTAGATGAGTGCAACCAACGAGACGCATAGAACCTTGACCGATGGCAGTATCCTCTTTCTTTATCAGAGAGGCGTGTCTGCAACTGCGCTTCAATTCTTGAAACGAAGCAGTTTAGATTCGACTGAATTGGTTCCAAGGCACACGTCTTTTAATTCATGAATGTCCCCCACAGTTAGCTGAATCGGGCCTCAAATGATCTCCTTGACATCGTTCTGCGACAAGACCACTAATCGACGCCAAGGCCTTAAGAAATACGTCGAAGAGATTCCAAAGCCAAAGAGCTTCAGTCGTTGGCTAGAACGTGCTTTTAAGGTTTCTTACTCAACTCACACACTTCCTCACTTGGTTATGGTCCATGCCGCCAAGCAAGGATTCTGAATCTGAAGGTGAATCTAAAAAATCTGTATCTTTCATCCAAACATTCTATTATTCATAGGAAACGAATGTGCCTCACTTGGTCTAATGATTTCATTAGCCTTCTATCGTGCTATATATGTCTGTGAGATGTCGTGTTTCTGTAAGAACTTTGTCATGTGTTTTTAGCTGCGAATCGAACCGTATTCCCAGTTTCTGTAGATTAGCAAACCTTTGCGTATAATCTCTAGATGGTTCTAAATTCGATTACTTGTTAAAAAATGGACACGATTACAGCCAAGACAGATCAGCAGTTTTCGAAGTGTTCGTGGGCATGTTACTGGACTAGGACGCGTGTTCGCTTTGCAAGAAGATGAGTAAGTCATTTACCATGCCCGCAACCCTCTAGATTCCTTAGATATTTACACCAATCACAGGATCACAGATTTGCGTAGAGGCAGTTTCAACTCTAACCTAAGCTTTGAATTGAGGTGACCGCTAATTACCAACTCTGAACCGTACGTGTAATGTGTTTTGAAGTGTTTCAAAGAAAGCGAGGGAGAAACGAGTTTTGTTGTTTTCCACGCCACGTTAGCTAGTCACTCAAAATTACCTCTCAACTGGCAATTGCAGGTTTTGTTCAAATGCGTACACAACATCGACATATACTTTTGCATCTTTTGTTCCGCTGAACCTTTTCCATCAATTTTCACATACAGCAAGTCTTTACTTCCTGCTTATTACATTTCTTCAGCTCGTACCAGAGTTATCCCCTACCAGCTGGATCACAACCTTCGTCCCGCTTGCTTGTATGCTACTGTTGAATGCTGTCAAAGATGGCCACTATGACTGGATTCGTCACCAATCTGACAAAACGGTGGGGATGGTACTCCAATCCAAGACTTTGAGTCCTAGGATTACCCTCTGCAATGCAGGAACATGTCATAAAGTTTTCTAGGTGGTTTAACTGCGTGGACGATGAGTTGCATTTGTCCAAGATAACGATGAATCATGAAGTTTAATTTTCTGCTTTAATTGAACTTTTTGTTTGAATTTTGGAGATCAACTAGGAAAGATCTATGTGTAGCTTTTCAGATACTGTGTGTGAGTAGAACTTTTCATTAAGTTTACTCAGATGAGAGATGGATGGTCACCCATTAGTGACCTGATCGCTGATACCTCTAATTGGGTATCCGCTGATCCTGTGCTAATGCAGGTGAACGAAAAAAATACCGAGGTTTTGAAGGATGGAACATTTGAAAAGCTAAGCTGGGAGTTGGTCATAGTGGGGGATATCTTGAAGGTGAATAATGACGAAGAATTTCCAGCAGACATGGTCTTTTTATGTTCTTCGGATTCTCAAGGTGTGTTCAGTGTTGGAATGTATGCATCTCTCATACTATTTTCCGTAATATGAGAATTACTTGCATTGATATTAATATCGGTAAGAAGCCTCCTATCTCGCATTTTAGTCCTGTCGTCTTGCACACTTGCATCCCATATAATTCCATGGAGAATACAAACTATGGTGTAGTTATCTGTGCGCAGGGTTTGGATATGTGGAAACGACAAACTTTGATGGCGATTCGAACTTAAAAGTTCGCAATGCAATATACCAAAAGGCGTTTATGGATATCAATATGTCTCCATCAAAATTTTCTGGTTTGATAATCAAGTGTGAGCATCCCAATAATCGCCTGCATGAGTTCGAGGGCGTTATCAAACTTCAGGTTCATAATCTTTTCCACAATCTACAGACTGCTGTTGTATGCATGTGTTTTTAACCATTTGCGTGTGCAAAGATTTTCGTGACGAATTTCCTCAGCTGGGTGACCTTCATTGTTGCGACAGATTTCTGAGCTTTGTATCAGCATCATCTTAGGATGTAGCACGTAACGACTTTTTGTGCTAACATTTAGGCACACTACGTTCTATGGCGCTTCATACAAAAAAGAAATTGTAGGTTTTCTTTTGAGGTTCGTGGATCGTTTGCTGAATCTGACAGGAGGGTTAAAGAGTTGGAATCATCGTGACAGGATTTTATGTCCCATTCATTCACCTGAGTCCATTTGATGAGTTTATGCTCCATGACACTTTTGCAGGGTACAGGAAGATTGTTTCTGGACGAAACCAAAATTCTTCTGCGAGGAGCAACGCTCCGCAATACATCTTGGATCCTTGGCTGCGTTATTTTTACAGGACGTGACACAAAGGTTCTTCGTAATATGAGCAGTGTTTCCCAGAAGGTGTGAGCCTAATTGTATCTTTTCTGAATGCTCTCTCGTCTGCGCATGTTTAAATTATTTTCTTCTTGGTGCCCTCTTGGTGCTCATCGTTTAGTAATTATATCTAAGCTTGATTCATACATGTTCTCTCGCTCTTGTGTACCTATTCTGCAGGTGTCTCACTTTGAGGGTCATATTAACATGATATTACCGATCATGGTAGTCTTAAACGTTTTTATCTGCTTCTGTCTGGCTATTGCCGGCAATGTTTGGATGGCAAGACGCACCCAACACCATTATTTACCCGGACAATGGGGGTGGCCAGACTATGGAGTCGGAATTAGGGGCACTGGCGTTCGGTTTCTTCGGTACATTCTAGTAGTTTCTACCAAAAGTGTACCATAAATGGAAAACAGCTAGTCTCGGGCGATAACGTAACATAAAACATAAAGCACTTCGTGTATTGGGTGTCTTTTGTTTTTACATGACGTCCGTTCTGTCTTTACTTGGAGCGGACACTTGGGAATTGAGAATTTGGTGAATGCAGGTTCTTTATACTGATGCATGGGATTGTTCCCATCACACTATATATGTCGCTTGAGTTAGTGAAGGTCTTCCAGTGCCTATTTGTCGACTGGGACCTTCACATGTACTCTCCTGAGGCAAACAGGCGGGCGCTGGCTTCTGCATCTGGAATTCCGGAAGAGCTTGGTCAGGTGAGGCCCTATTTTGGAGTCTTCATTTATTAAATTTGAAGGGGTTGACATGTATCTAGGCCTTGGTCCTGCAATAGGCTGGTTACGAATTCACATGTCCTAATCAATCACCCAACCTGACATTTTCAATATTTATTGATAAATTCCATTGATCTTTACTTGTTTATGTTTTTGTACGAAGGTGGAATATGTCATGGCAGACAAAACGGGTACCTTGACGCAGAATGTTATGACGTTTGTATGCTGTTCAATTGGGGGTGTTTTGTACGGAAAGAAGCTACACGTGGAGGACATTGAAATAGCTACAGGCAGCTCTGTCCAACTCGTTTCCGAGGACGATGTTTTGCGACAGAAATTTACAACTGATAGTGATACAGGCAGGCTTTGTTGTCAATTTTTCACGCACCTTGCGCTTTGCCACAATGCGTACCCTCGGCTTGTGGAAGAAGCGATCGAGTACCAAACGAATTCTCCAGATGAAGCGGCCCTTGTTAAGGAAAACATCCAGTCCTCAAAGTCTTAACCTTCGTTGTCCTTGCTTTAGTACTGTGTCTATTTAACACTATTGGTGTTCCCTGACATCACATGTTGGGAAAGTTGTGGTATATGACCAGTTTAATAGTAAGGCAACTTGACTAATAAGTAACAAATTATTCCTGTTTCTATATGCAAATAACCAGCTGCTCTAAAAACGTGTTGATTTAGAGTTACTGTCATGAGTGGGATTTTCCTACTTTGATCTAAATCTTGGTACACGAATAAGCTTTTCACAAAGTCATGACGGCTATGGGATTCAAGCTGCTGCAGTCGTTGCTGTGTCGGTATTTCTTCCAACTTTTTGGTGAATTATATGTTTTTTTCCTTGCTCCAGGGAGCAGCAGAGTGCGGTTTTCACCTTGATTACCGAAGTGCTGAGGAGATAAATCTCTATTTGGAGGTCAATACATCAAACATTCTCTCTTTTGAGTTTCCATGCTTTTTAGGCTAAAGATTAGGAGGATTGATCCAATTTGGCTTACACAACGATATTCCGTGAAATGATCCAGGGAATAGGATTGGAAAAGCATACCGTTTTGGCTGTTTTGGATTTCACCTGGGATCGGAAGCGCATGAGCGTCATTTGCAAGAATCAACAAGGAAGGTTAAGCATTTTCTTGCAGTTTGACATTTTTACTTGTAAAGGATAAAGTTGTTTCTGAAGTTTGCTTGGTCATTTTGCGTCTGATATGTTTCTGCTGACATGTTTACTTAAATATGACGAGGATTTTGTGATTGGCGCATGAAATTCATTCTCTTTCAAAATGTACATGTGGAACTGAGGCGCGGTGCGAACTTGGCAGGGTGAAGTTGTACTGCAAAGGGACGGACACGGCCATCCTCAAACGCTTGAGGAATCCAAGCTCACCCATGGTTGAAGCAACTATACAACATATCGAGGAATTTTCCCGCAACGGTTACCGCACGCTGTGCATAGCAGAACGCGAAGTACAGTCAAGCGTGTACCTCTATGAAACTCTGCTCTGGATTATTTGTTAGAGAAACTTGAAGTATAACACTAAATGTTGAAGCGGTATCTGAACAATGTTTTTTCGTTTTAGCTGAGAGATAAAGAATTTGAAATCTGGGCGGGACGATTCCTTAATTCAAGTACTTCAGAGGATGATGGAGAATCTCAGCTAGCAATTGCTGCTGAGACAATTGAACGTGACATGGTAAATAGCCATTTTCATACGTTTGACTAGGGAAGAAGATTACGTGTCTGAACATTAATAAAGCTCTTTTTAGTCCTTTTACATTAGAAATCACGCTACTTTTCTCGTAATTTTCCTGATTGGTGAAGGATTGTTTATTTTTACTTTTGTTTTTTTGTTTTTTTATTAGTTTCTATGCGTGAGTCTACCAGGGAAATCTGTATGATTGTTATTTTGGAAGTCTCTTTCTCACGTTCCTTGGATACGCTTAAGGTACTCCTTGGAGCCACAGCTGTGGAGGATAAGCTGCAAGAAGGAGTTGCAGAGACAATTACCCAGCTAGCGCAAGCCGGCATAAGAGTCTGGGTAAGTTGCCTTTCAGCTGTTAAATCGCCTCAGTTTAACTAATTTAGTTGATTCCTTAAGAAAGTTCGGATCTGACCACTTGACGATCACACTGAGCGAAGAGAAAAGTCATGTGCTTCCAGCAACGCATGTGAGGGAGTTGCACTTACTACCCTTCACGTTGTCACTTCGAAGCCACTAATACGCTTGTAAGTCGTGTTATTTTTGCAGCCATGACAAGAATGAGTCCAGCACACTGATATTGTACTGGCAGGTTCTCACAGGCGATAAGATCGAGACTGCTGTAACCATCTCCTTGTCTTGCAATCTGCTCGCCGACTCCATGCACCTCTTCTTCTTCCCAGATGCATTGGTCAAAGTTGTTGGTCAGATGCTTAAAAACATGCTCGACGAAGCTCGCCATCATTTTGATAACCAGCACACTGAAGGTCAGTGTCGATGGCTTTTAAGCAAGTTTTTACAACAGATAATAATTTGTCAAGCTAAAAAACGTACTCGTCAAGTATAATAAGATGCATGCAATGGCATTAACATCGAGGTGTATGATTGATCATGTAGGCCATTCGGAAATGGCCGTTGTAATCGAGGGCCATTCTTTGAGTGTTGCCTTGGAGGCAGCCAATCAAGAGACTTTTCTGAGACTGTGTCAAATTTGCCGGACAGTCGTATGTTGTCGAGTTACTCCTCTGCAGAAAGTTCAGGTGTTTTTCTTTGAAGAGTTAGTTTCACATTCTGCCATTCTCTTCAAAATATGAATTGCTGATTATCTTTATTGCTATGTGTCATGAATGACAAAAACAACTATCACATTATTTTGCCGAGTACAATCTTGACCTAAAATTCGGTTGAGCAATGTTTTTTCTGTGAAATTATGTTCCTTCTACGTCGATTTGATGAATTTGATTGCAGTTGGAAGTTCACTTCACATGGAGATAGTTCCACAATATGTATGTATTGTGGGATCCATGCTACTTTGATGGTCTTGGTCTTACATGATGTTACACTATTTGATTGTAGCAGGTAACGCGACTAGTAAGATCTTATGGTTTTATGGTAGCAGCTGTAGGGGATGGCGCAAATGATGTGGGTATGATCAAAGCAGCTCAAATTGGGGTCGGAATTCGGGGCCGAGAAGGCAATGAAGCAGTAGCTGCAAGCGATTATTCTATAGGTCAATTTCGTTTTCTTGCACGACTGCTCCTTGTCCATGGAAGATGGTACCTATTCAAACTACCGCTTTTGTTCTTTCTTTTTGAAACGTAAAGTGTACTTAGTAATGAGAAATCGGTCTATTCTACTTCGCTTATTAGAACAATCAACTGCATTATTAACTACTGCTTGCAGGTCATCCATGAGGAACAAAGACCTGGCTTTATATATTGTTTACAAAAATGTAATTCACATATCGGCCAACTTTTTCTTCTCGTTTTTCTCTGCGTATTCAGTCCAATCTATTTTTCCAGAAATACTACTTTCAACCTACAATATGGTCTGGACTTTACTCCCTGTTGTAGCAGTCGCAATATGGGAGCGAGATGTTTGTCATTACACTGCTGAAAACAATCCTCAGCTCTATTTGGCATCTAGAGTCCGTGGAACGTATAAATTCGCTGCGGATATTAGCTTTTGGGCCTTGACGGCTATATGGCATGCCATCGTCGCCTTCTTCTTACCTTACTTGGTCTTGCACCAATCAGGGTAAGCCTTTTAATCACCCATTAATGCAGTGATCTCTGTTTTCTTTCTTTTGTACTGAGGCTGTTTAAGAACCGCTTCATTATGAATTAGAAGCTCATGCTCAACATATGGAGGCTCTTTCTGTTAGTGGCTGGGAGCTGAAATACGTTTGCATTTTTTTGAATGTTAGCAATTTATAAAGCACTCACATCTTTTTACAAGTATAGTGAAGATGATGCCATTTCAACATTCTAAGTATAGCATTATGAACTTTCTCGAGAATTTTAGCATTCACCATATAGTTAGGTGGCCATCTGAACGTGAAGAATGTACTTCTCCTGAATACTAGTCACAACCTCTGTGCTAACTCGATATCATTATTTTGGTTGAAATGGGAGTTACTAATTGATATTTTCTTTGCTATCCAGGTTTAATGGTGAGAGTATCGGACTAAGCTCGTTTGGTGCGACAGTATATATACTGGAAGTCGTGATTGTTAGCGTGAAACTCGCTGTCCACTCAACATCGTGGATACCATACCAAATCTTACTACTCTGTGCTTCGGTTTGCTCTTTATTTCTCTTTTTGCTCCTCCCACATTCCCTTGGTATCCACACACAGGATTTCGACATCCTTAGCAAGGACTTGTTTGGTAGGCCAACGTTTTGGCTACTGGTAGGACTCAGCCCCATTGCAGCTTGTCTTCCAGACGTGACTTATATGATGTTCCAGCAGCGTTCTAACCCAGCAGATTCAACCATATTACGAGAACGGGAGAATGGTTGGCAAGATGGGATTTGTAAACAAGGTTCCTTGGACTTCGTAGACGTGATACATTCACTTGCGGATGAAGAATTTGATGATGGGGACTCAAGTACCTCAGAAATTCCCTTAGAGACAGAGGCGATAGCCAGAAAGAAGACATGGAGAGAAATTGTATGTGATGATAGGTTCGATGCAACAGATCATACCCATTCTGCCGTTTGGGACGGAAAAAAGAGCAGTAAAGGGTTTCACATGGTGACACATCTTAATGCTCCACATCAAAAGCCGCGACCTCTGCATAAAGGACCTAAACCCTCATATCGTAAGTGCCTTCAAAATAATATACATTCTGTGACCTTTGGAGCATTTCATTATGAAACTGAGAATCAGTAAGGAAATCATTAATAAGCTAGCACATGAGTTTGAATTTTTTTGCATTTAATCCTATGAGGTTTATTAGCAAACAAGCACTGGAGACGTTCGTTTTTGCAGGAATGTCTGCAAGGCAGTCCGTTTTTTCTTCTAACAAAATGAATGTGCCCAAGGCGGTTGATGGTTCTGATGCTGATGAATTGAGCATGGTATCCAGAAGGTGCTGGAAAATTCCCTCTCAACATTTCAGTCTTGGAGCCTCGCCTCTACGAGAGAAGTTGACATCGGCACGTTTTTGTTGGAAGAGAACCAAACAACTATTCTCTGTTGAGGACTGTTTTTCAGTTCCCAAAAAATCCTACGGTAAATCTCAGCAACCGAAAGATGATTCTTTACTAGAATTATCTCTTCATAAACCTACTGGAAACAAGTCACATCTCTTTGTTAGGATTGCTCCCGAAGTGGAATGTAAAGAACCAGTCAAGGTCATGTTGACTGCGGAGAAGCATTTGCCCTTAGACCCTGTTCATTCAGAGAGGATAGGTTCGTCTTTTTTGAAAGCCTCCGACGATGAAACGGAGTTATTCGGAGAGGACCCACACCCCTATTCTTTGATAGCCGTGATAAATCCCAATGCTGAAGTTCAACCCAACCTTCAACCGGAAATTCAATCAAAGAATAACTCAATCAAGCAACATTCGCAATTCCTGATGTCCCCCGATAGCAATGAACTCAGAGATAATTACTCAACATCTCCAAGTATCGTGTTAAATCCCGAAGCTGATCTGCAGGTTAATTTCCTACTCCTACACCGAAAATAAATCCATTGATTGAAAATAAACAAATATATAAGAGTTCTTGCGAGAATGCCGATAGATCAGTTGTAGGATTATCAATTGTCAACTATAATGAACTGGTCGGTTGTTCTCAACAGGTTACAGAGATCCCGCGTCCAGAAAAGAAATTTGTCATAAATATGCACACAGATTACGTAAATAAAATTGCTCCACCCCTCGCTTCTGAAAGCCTAAGTGAAGAAGCTATGGAAGAATCAGAATAAATACTGTTTCTCATGGCCAGGATGGAGAATCAGAGCTTACTGCGCCGTCTAACAAAGATGACGATAGCACAAAGACGAGAACTGAAGTTGGTGTCATAAGCGAACCAGGACTTGTCCTACCAATCTACGGTTTTCGAAAGCGAGCAGCAATGGTGCTTGTTTGAATTTAAGATGAGGATCAGTCTTCAAATTCCAGGTAGAGGAATTCGAGGAGGATGTCGAGTCCCTTTTGACGCCATCAGTAATGGTCAAACTTCTACTGTAGTTTAGAAGCAATTAAGAAAAGCTCTAAATCAGAGCGATGTGTTAAACTTCCCTCTGAACAGGTGTGATGAAGGCCCACACCATCGTGTCCAAACAACAGTAGAGGATGCAATCCAGTTTATTTATTGTGATTGCAGAACCACTAGACTTCAGGGAACATCTTCCTGACTTAAATTAATCGAATTGGTATAAGAATAAATAACAGGGATGAGGAATCATGTAACTTCTTCCAGACAAACTTCACATCAGCAAATCGGCGTTCAGGACACGGTACGTTCTAAGAAAATGTGATCAACCCTTCGAAACAAAAACTTGTATATTACTGAAAAGGAATATTAGATAAATTTTTAAATGGAGGAAAACGATTTGAAACTTTTTTCGGATCAGATCATCGTCGTAGTGACTTTGAAATACAATAGATTGTAAATTTACAATTATGCCATCACTTGAAATCTTCAACATGCAGTCAACTGATCTTCTAAGAAGGAGAGACTTGGCACGATTGCATTCTTGTCACTTTGAAGGTCGAAGCTTGCTGCCTGCTTGCCTACTTGAACAATAAGACTGGAGTATGCTCTAGACTTGAAAAGCGGGGAGAACGTTGCCCGTAGCTACAATGTTAGATCTCACAAAATTCTCCTTCGGATAGCAGGAAATTAGGGTGGTGGATAGTTCAAAGACACAGTTATACCGTCTATTATATACAGGAGCTGTATCATCACTATATAGAAGGGTCATGGGGGACACGGAATAACTTTAGCACTCAACATTGTTGTTAAAACGGTGTAAAAAATGATGTCTGACTTTGAAGTCCCAAAAACACTTCCTAAGCAATGTAAAAGTTGGAAGCTGCCAAACTACAGAAGAGATTTCCGTCACAACTTAAGGTTGTCTAACTTTGGCCTTTGGTCTTATCATCACTACTAGAATTGATCATTCGAAGAGAACAAGTCCTTTTGCAGACGGACATCGCTGTCTTTGACCATCTCCGAAGCTTGAAAGTGAAACTTGTAAACGATCGTCTGTGTATGGGCTGTTCTTTTCATACATGACTGCTTTTGGGAACTAGTCCTAGCATGTTCTACAAGCAACAAAATTTGCTCTAGCTAGTGGTTTAGTAAATATATTTGCTGCCATGTCTTGGTTGGCGCAGTACATTAATTCAACATCCCCTACTTCTACCTATTGCCTCATGAAGTGCTCCTGAATGTTGTAATGATCGGTGCATCCATGGTAGGTAAGGTTCTTGGCAATCACGATACAAGATCAATTTTCCTCGTAAATGAGTATTGGGTCTAGTTGCTCTATGCAATAATCCTTGAACACCTTTTCAAGTCACAAAGCCTTTTTTGCGGCGATGGTTGAAGCGGCATATTCTGCTTCTATTGATGAGAGCAAGATAGTGGGTTGTTTCTTGCTAGACCACGTGATCAGTGCGCCTTCTATTGCAAATGCAAAGCCGCCTAAAGAGCAGTGTATTACCTGGCCTCTTCTCCAATCCGCATCGGTGTAACTCACCAACTTTAGACTCGCATTCATTTTGCCGTACTGGAGCACCAAGTTCTTTATTCTTTGTAAATATTGAAAAATGCACTTGACTCCTTGCAAATGTAAGATGCATGGATGCCCCATGTACTTGGCAAAGTATTGGCAGACAAAAGCAATATCATACTTCATGCCATTTGCAAGATACAACAAGGAGCCTATGACTCTTTGGTTTACTTTTATCCCATCCACAACCATTGGTTTGTTGTCCTTGTGCTTTGTAAGATGTCCTTTTCCATTAGAGTTGCAATTGACTTTAGTGTTTTCCATTCTAAATTTCTTACCATTAGCTTTTGAATGATTTTTTGTTTGTTGTCCTTGTGCTTTGTAAGATGTCCTTTTCCATTAGAGTTGCAATTGACTTTAGTGTTTTCCATTCTAAATTTCTTACCATTAGCTTTTGAATGATTTTTTTGTTTAATTTAGAGATATAGTGTAGACCTCCTTATCATGTAAAAAGTTTGTATCCAAAAAGTGGTTGAATTCACAAAGATCATTTATCTTGTACTATTTTTGCAATTCTTCTTTAGGTGTTACAAGGATCTTAAATTTTTTTCTTCCAATTAGCATGTTATTAATATATACAATGAGTATAAGTACTATAACACAAGTATGTATGATATACAAGCAAAGATTGGATTGTAAGTGTTTTCAATTAAGATTTGTAATAAAGACTTTTAAATTTTTGTTTAGTCTTCATTTGACTTGCTTCAAGCCATGTATAGTTTTTAATATGTGTAATATTTTAGCCATTTGCTCAAATAGAATGTCCAAATCCTTCAAAATTTGCATGTAAGTATTATCTTCTTTCAATCCATCATCTAGATAAGCAGATACCATATTTAGTTGTAGCTTATTCTATCTCAATGTGGTAACAATTGCAACCAATATGCAGATAATCACAAGAAAGGCCATGGGTGTAAATATCGTGTAGTAATCAATGCTTTCTATCTATGAATAAACCTTTATCAATAGCTATATCATATATCTACTTATAAATCTATTGTTAGTAAATTTCTCACAATAATTCTATTTTGAGTTTATTAATTTTTGATCCTTGAATAGGCAAAAAACTTCTATGTACCATGTTGTTTCAATGAGTCTTACTTCTTCTCCTTTGCATATTTCTATTCCTTGTTAGAAGATGAACTTATGGAAAACAAAATTATCTTTAGAATAGTCTTCATCTATTGAGAGTCTTTGACAATATTTTTTGTTCTAATTGAAAGACCAAAATTTCCTTGTATAAATTCTTCATCTTATTTCAGTAGAGCTCAACTTTTTTGATTTCTTTATATAATATTTGTTAGATCAATTTTGCTTGTATTACATTGTTGCAATCATAGTTCTTAGATAGATTCATCTTCTTGTATGTTTTTCATGCTCAATTATTTTATTCATGTCTAAGTCTATATTTGTACGAAGTTCTTTGTACTCTAATTCTATATGAATTTAAGGTTTTTTTGTTTTATTTTCAATATTCTAGTCTTGGGTGTTGAAGTTACAACTTTGCATCATGATCTTCTTTACTCTCTATTTTTGTATTTTGTAATAATGTTCTAATAAGTGTGGCTTTCATATTGATATGAAGAAAAATCACATCTTTATTGAGTGTGACTTTTTTTAATTCTAAGATAAAAAATTTCATACTACTTTGCTATATGTGAATATCTAATAAAGATTTCTTTCTTTCCTTTGGCATCAAGCTTTTGGGGCTTTTTTTTTTGGCACATAATACCAAGTTGAACAACTAAAATAATAGATGTATGAAAGCAATGTTTTTTCATCATTTTTTTTATTTTTTTTTTATTTTTTATTTTTTTATATTGTATTATCAAGTCTTATAATTGGAAATTACTTATGGATCCATATTAAAAATCTTGTTGTAAATACTCAATATCAGTAATCTAATTTTACATTATTAAAAGATATTTATATTCCTTTATAGTTGGTACAAATCATGCACTCAATCATTTCAACAATTTTATATCTATATGCTAGGATTAATATATATTGGATGTATTTAACTTTAAAATATGTGTCCAAATTTTGATTTAGAAATACTTTGTTTTAATCCATGACAAAGGTTTTGACCTTCTTCTCTATTCTTTTTATACCTCTATTTTCCATGCTTAGTACATAATTTAGAATTAATTTTTTACTTGTAAATAAACCATAAAGGATTCTTTGATTTCACTAAACATAGAATAAGCCTTATTTTTGAGCTTTTTGCAAGTTGATATGTTTTTTGATAGAAAAATTGAATTATCACCGGTTCTATCTAAGTTAAACTTACAATCTTTCTTATACAAAGTTGCTACAAAAAAAAAAGATGATGTGTGTTATAAGAACCCAATATACATCCTTCATAACTTTAGAGATGTTCTCTTCTTTAAGGTTCAAAATCCTAAAATACATTTTACTTGATCTTTGAATTATCTTATATCTTTGTTGTAGTAGCTAGATGAATACAATATCATCAAAATTTGAATCTTGTTCTTCTTGCCTTAGATATGTACTTTAGCATTGTTGTAGATGTATACATATTTTAGATGTAGGACTAGTGCTAAGATTGTTACTTAAAATTCATGTAGAATCAACTAAACGGTTGTTGATTGGAGCTTATATTGGATTTCATGGCTTTATTATACTACAAACATGCCAATGCTTGTTATACTATTATTTGGCATAGAACATTCTGGATCACCATTTCAATGCCTTCTTTGTTCGCATGCTCAGTAGATATTCTTTATCTCATAAATTTTAGATTTTTATTTTAATTGCTTAAATTAAGACTTCCTTTCAAATTACTTCTTAAGTTTATTTATAAATAGAAAAAAGGTTGAAGAATTGCTTCTTGTGTATCTTCTTTGAAGAATATCCTTGTGTTAGGGACATATTCCTTAGAACTTTCTAGAGAGAAGTTTCTAGAACCTTCTAGAAAACAAGCCTCTGGAACCTTCTAGAAGAGAAGCCTCTGGAACCTTTTAAAGAGAAGTTTTAAGAAGCTTCTAGAAAGGAAGTCTCTGGAACCTTCTAGAAGAGAAGTTTCTAGAAGCTTCTAGAAAGGAATCCCCTAGAACTTTCTAGAAGCTTCTTAGTTAATAGAAGTAGCTCGAGAAGTTTCTAGAACCTTCTAGAAAGGAAGCCTTTGGAACCTTCTAGAAGCTTCCTAGTTAATAGAAGTAGCTCGAAAAGCTTCCTAAGTAGGAGTATATATAGGGATCGAGGCTGAAGAGTTCTTCAGTCTCGACAACACATCTCTTGGAGTTCTAGCTCACCTTTCTGGTGTTGTTCTTGTACTCATCTGTTTAATCTAGTTCTGCCACTTCTTCTTGAACTTTTTGTTAGATTTCAAGTCTATATTTTGTGTCCGTGACAGTTTGTCGAGACTACACTAACTTGAGATATCAGAGCTAGTTCTTTCTAAGTAGAGTGTGGATTACCCCTCTACTTGAAGGTATACTAGCATTTTTAGAGGTTGTGGATTACCCTCCTCTAAACTG